GAGCAGCACAGTTAAACTCAGCGCAAAAAGTTTCCATAGTGAATGTTTACTTTCTCTGTACATGTACATGTACTGTACATGTTCATGTTCATGTTCATGTTCATGTACATGTACAAGTACATAATAATATAAAGATTAACTGGAGACTTTTTTACCAAAAAGGCAATTTTTTTAGTATCCACGGCAACTGTGCATGTGGTGATTTTAAAAAATGGAATGGGAAAATTTTGGCGAAAATCTGGTCAAAATGGGATGATCGACTAAAATTTTTTCCCCTTAAAGATAAAAATTACCAGAAAATCTTATCTTTGGGTTAACTTTATAAAACTACATACTTATTGGTTTCTCTGTGGTTAAAAATAAATATTAGTCACATTACTGGTAATGCAATGTTAAATCAAATAAACTCAATATATATATAATTAATATATTATTTTTTTTTTAACGCAAAATATATATTACATACTTAAATTTTTTTCCGCGCGTATACTGTATAAAAATTAACGGAAAAAATTTTCGTCCAAAATTGGACAAGCCTCTGCCGATCTTTTTATATGAAAAATTAAGAAAACGGCTCAAAAATTCGGGCAAAATTTGATAAATATAGAAAATAAAATTTATGATTTTTCTAGACGTAAAATATCTTAATGGTGTCAAAAAGATCAATATTAAGATAAGTATTAATTATATTAATTATTTGATTTTTTTATTTGTCTAGATATCTGATATTTTACTTATTCCAATTGAATAAAATCAAACAAATTATTTTAATATGATCACCGATCCAAACCTAAAAGGTGAAAAGGCAATATAATTTTCGGTAAAAAAAAAAAATAATGAAAAAAAAAATCATTATAAATAAAAATGGGAAAAAAGGGCTTAGCAGTGTCAATACGATCACTGATCCAAACCTGAAGGGGAAAAGAACAAAAAAAAACAAAAAGGAATAAAGAAAAAATAAAAAATTATAAAACCGTGAAAGAAAATAATATTATTAAAAAGAGCCAGTCTCAAAAGAACAGGCAGTAAGAGAAAAAATTTTTAGAAATTCAGGTTTTAAAACAGAACTTAAGAGAATTAAAAAAAAATTTTTTTTAAAAGAAGAAAAATCCCGGTTTTTAAAAGCTAGAATGTAAATCCAGTTCTCAAAAACTAGAAAAAGAGAAAATAAAAAATAAAAAAAGGCTGTTAACCATCAATGGAAAAAAAAAGAAAACGGCTATCGGAACGTGCACATGACCTTGATAATCAAAATATCCTAACACGGCGCAGATACATCACGGGTTTCATGTTACACAATTCAATTATTTAATATGGATGTAAACTAAATATCGCTTAGTTATATAGATAATTGATAATTGACAAATATGAGCCTTACGTCTATCAAATTTCCCGGAATAACATTTAAATTATCATCAAGTTAAAAATAAATTATATCTTCTATAATTTTTTAAATATTAAATATTTTCATTTAAAGTATTTATTATTTATAATATAAATAAAAAAAAATAATAGTCCAATTAAAATTTAATAGATCGAAAAAATTACCATTGTAACGTTAATAAATTATAATATATCCTCAATTTTTAAAATATACATGCAAAGGTTTGATAACACGCTATCCTCTATTAATATTCTATATTAATATTAACAATATCATGTTGAGAAATATATAAATCTCGATGCTTTTGTACTATAATATTATATAATTTAAATTCATTTACCTCATCTTTTAAGAAAAACAATTCTTTTTCCGTGTAAGAGTAACCAGGAACAAATTCTGAAAAAGCCAAATATTTAACCCTTTTCTTCCTCATAATATATTCCTTAATATAAAATAAAACAATTTTATTATCATCTTTTAACATATTTCTAATTAATAATTTCTTAATAAAAGTATTTTGAGAATTTTTTAAAAATGTTTCAAAATCATTACTAAATGAAAGTGACAAATATAAATATTCTAATTTAGAAGGAAGAACTTGTCCTAAATTTTGTAATACAATTGAATTATATTTATTGCTAGCATCCATTAGAATAGTAAGATAATTGATAGTTTGTCCAATATTTTCAATTAATAAATAAATATTAATATCATCAGGTTTATCTGAAGTAAAATATATAATTTTTGTACAATATTTCATAACTAATTTAAGTAATTGTCGTCTTGATTCTTCATACTTTTTGATCATATATCCATATTCAAAATTTTCTAAATAATCACCACATTTTTGTAATAAAAGTTGTAATGATTCAATGTGTAATATTTCATCTATAAATAAAGATTTCAATTTAAAAGGTTTATTAACCTTAATAATTTGTTGAACAAAATCAGAATTTAAAGAATAACAATAAAGAATATGAATTGATTCTAAAACATTCAATTGATCAAATACTTCTTGTAAAACTGTAATTACATTTCTAAAGTCAATACTATCAAATATAATTGTATTTAAAGTATCTGAACAATTAGAATTTTTTAATGATAAAAATGGTTTATATAAAATAGTACTACAAGCAATAAATGAAATTATTTTGAGATTATGTTGAGAAATAATTAATTGTGATAAACATTTTTCAATTAATGAAAAATTATCAACATTATATATACGAAAATGAAAAATAATTGATGAGATTGAATTACAATTAGAATATAAAAATTTTAAAAAGGGAATGATATTTATGGTATTTTGAAGGAAAATATCATGAAAAATATGTAATGCCAAATTTTTAATATTGCAAATAAAATTTGGATGTTGTAAAATCAATTCCATAGTATTATTAAAATGTGTACAAATACTACTACCATTCCTAGACATTACAAATTCAAAAGAGTGTAAGTTTCCTTCATTTTCAAGTAATACTTCAAATAATGACCTATAAACTAATCTCTCTAGGTTCTCACGATTATCATTCACTAAAGTAGCAACCCATTTTTCAACAGAAGAACAAATACTATTTAAACTTAAATATTTAGTAAAACTAGGATAATTAAATAATGTATTTGTAGGTATTAAAATTTTAATATTTTCATATTCATTAAATTTTGCTTTGCTATCTTCATTTAAAAAATGTAAATAAATTTCAATACAACGATAATTTTGGGAAGGAATTGAAAATGGATCTTCCCATAATAATGGAATCGCTAAACGACACCAAAATCTATTAACTAAAATACACGAATGTAATGTTGAAAAATCTTTTCTAAAATTTTGTATAATTTCATTTGTTAATTCGGGCAAATATCCTGTAAATATTTTTGAGCATGCCATGTTGGCGAAGAAAGAGAAGCGGCTTTCATTTCACAATTGGGAACAAAATTTATTAATTTTTCGTAACGTATGTTGTACTACAAATAGAAATAAAAATAATATGTGAATCGTTCCTTTTTTTGATAATAAACACAAGTAATTCCGGCACGCCGATCTCTTGTTATCTATTCTCAGACATACTTTGCAGATCATTTGTCGATCACATATAACATATGACGAATTTCTTAAATAACTTGGTAAAATATTAGTAAAAATATTATGAAAATCATTATAAAATCATATTTAAACATATTATTATTATAACAAAATAAATTAAATTGCATCATTGTGTGATGATATGAAGTCATCGGAAAAAAATTGATGGGCGAAGGTGAATACGCGTGGCTGCGTAGGCGAAACTTGAAACTTTGTATAAATATTCCCTATACTATATACAATCTATTCCTATAAAAAAAGAATGTCTAGAAATTGTCGTTGAAAATGTTCAGAAAATGTTCAGAAAATATTCAGGTATCCGGAAAATGCCTGGAAAATTGCAATATTCCGGACGCCGAGACATTGTGAATTCCGGAAAATGTCCAGAAATGTCTAGGAGGGCTCAGGTCTGGTGTCCTTAAAATGTCCGGAATATTGCAATTTTCTGGACATTTTCATTTTCCGGACATTTTCAGCGGACATTCTTTTGTTATAGGGGTAGTAAAAATAATACAGTAATCCGTTCAATAATACAGGTTATTAATTTCATATTTAATTTATTAAATCTCTGATAATGAAAAGGTTGTACCATAAAATTTAATAAATTAATGCCACAAATTAATATATAAATTATGCTACAAAATTTATTAAATTTAATGCCGTTAAATTTCTACAAAATTAAAAATAATAATAAAATTTTGCCGCATACGAAATTTAATAAATAGTTCTAAATCACCATATATATCAGTAAACTCAATAATATTTGATTTTTGGAATAATGTTATCTGTAGAATTTTTATATAAAAGTTTTCATTAATATAATAAATAGACACCTTTTCTAATGTGACATCATCAAAATTCATGATGATATAGAGATGCCCGCCCTGTTTGTCGTATATAATATGAGAATTATAAAGTGAATTTTTATTAATAAATAAATCTAAAATTATTTGCAAAATCATGACTATTATCATAAATTAATCTTCTTCGTCTTTCAAGAGAAAGATCTAAATTCGCTAAGTACATAAACCCTTTTCATAATATATTTCTTTATACAAATAAAATATTTTTTATATTCTTCTTGCATTTAATATATCACTAATTAATAACATTTTAATAGAATTTTTAAATACATTTAAATCACTTGAATTAATCCTAAGTTTTAAATACTTTAATTTAGAGGATAATTAATATTTTTGTTTAATGAATTTCATTTTTTCATCCTACAAATTAAAATATTGCATAAGAGCATACTATGTACCGAATTATACTACCATCTTAATTTAACTATTTATCATAAATTTCTTTTGGAATTAAGTATTGATGAATAAAATGTTAAAAATAAATACTATATATAGTAACTTTTAATGAATAAAAATTAAAAATATCATCTATGATAATAGATCTAAGTACCTTTCATTGCTCTTTGTTTAATTGGCAAACCATTGAGGCGAATCTCTTAATATTATTGGCTTCTTTGGTTTACAATCATAAAGACGTTTATCTTAGAATTTTAAATCTAATTTGCAAGAAGTCCATAGAATCGTTATCCATATTAATACGTATAAATTTGCTTTTAACAATTTCTGCGAATTTTGCGTTAATTCGCGATCCCATGAGTCAGCTTTAGGAATCTGGCGTGGCGTCAAAATAAAATTAAAAGTTATGCGAAAAACTGTTTTAAAAAATAAACTATTTGAAACTCGGGATAAATAATATGTATTAAAATATATTAGTGCTTAAATGAGTTCATTATTTAAGGAATGAAAATTGGGTATCAGAAAAATTACTAACGATCGATATAAATCATATATGAATTTTTTTTGCAGTTGACTCAGGATCACGAATTAAAGTAGTTGATTAACAAGATACGGTATAATGGGATCGTTCATCATGTCTGAAGAATGGGTAAAGTAAGTTCTTTAATTAATAATATTAGACAAGAAAGAGATATTTTAAAATTACGTAAATTAAATATTGATTCTCCGATATATATCCCCAATGAAATAAATATACTTAATGAACTTTCAAAGGCTCTTAAAACCCATTCCACTTTTGAAATATATAAAAATTGTCGCATGTATAGGTTAGATCAAATGAGTTTCCAAGGCGATAAAGATGATGCCTTAAATTTCTTGTCAACTTTCGTTCGCTTTGTTTTAAAAGTGAAAATTATCAATCCACAAGAGATTAAAAATCATCTTTTGGAAACATATTCATCGAATGAATTCTTTAAACATGAATTCCCAAAGAGGATATCTGGCATCACATCAATGAATGAAATTTACAGGTTATACAGCGAGATGGTTTAAAAGTAGCCATTAAACTTATAAGTGAATTTCAATTAATATAAAACATACAAAGAAGGAATCACGTTAACATAGGTGTTTATATGTTTATAATGTTTCAACCTTCAGGTTCCCATTACTAGTGAACCATATACAACTTTATACAAATTTGCTGGATATTTTGAAAAAAAAAATATTTTTTTATACTTTTATTTGAAATTTTTGAAATTAAAGCAAAAGATTTCTAAGATATTTTAATACTATTTAAAATACTTATTCACAAATGTCTACAGTAAATTACTTTTTAGAATCATATTTGCAAGAAAAAAAAAGAAAGAGAAAAAAAGAAATTAAAGCAATAGTGGGCATATCAAAATTTTGATACATAAATTTGACAATAAAATAATGATAAAAAACATGTAAATATGTAAAAGAATGGTAGGATGAAATAAAAATAATATAATATACACAAGCAAATTTCCAATATTACATATATTTCAATATTATATAACAAATAGCAAATAATAATTTAATAAAGAAAATTATTTTAAATGGTACAGTATATCAAAATAATTTCTGTAATTTCTATCATAATAATTAAATAGTATTTGTTTTTATGTTTTTTTTGAGATGTTATTGCTTTCAAGATCAAGATTTATAATAAATTTCTTAATAACATCTTTATTTTCGGATATATTTTAATTCTTTAACACTTATATTCATAACTTTTTATCTCATAGCAAAAAATTGGTGCGACCAACACTTTAAAAATCTTGCGCTTTTTAGTATTACGGCCCTGCCACAAGGGACTTCCTAAGAAGCGCACTATGCTCCTCCCATGAAAATTACGCATAGCACCATGCTGTACCACAACCAACCAGCCCTACTATGAGACTACAGCAAAAGCTGGTACTCACAGGCTTACAAAGTAAGCACACTATGCTCCCACCCAACGCATAGCATCATGCTGCCCCAATAAAAATACCCAAAGCTAAAATTAATGAAGAAATAAAAAAATCATAAAAAAAATAAAAAAAAAACTAAAAAATAACAAAAAGTGCACTTACCTTTGGTCCAGCAGCCCTACTGTGAGACTGCAGCAAAAGCTGGTACTCACAGGCTTACAAAGTAAGCACACTATGCTCCCACCCAACGCATAGCATTATGCTGTTCCAATAAAAATACCCAATGCTAAAAATAATGAAGAAATAAAAAAATAACAAAAAATAAAAATAAAAACTGAAAAATAATAAAAAGTGCACTAACCTTTGATTCAGCCCTACTGTGAGACTGCAGCAAAAGCTGGTACTCACAGGCTTACAAAGTAAGCACACTATGCTCCCACCCAACGCATAGCATCATGCTGCTCCAATAAAAATTTTACCCAAAGCTAAAAATAATGAAGAAATAAAAAAAATCATAAAAAAAAATAAAAAAACTGAAAAATAACAAAAAAGTGCACTTACCTTCGGTCCTATCGCAGGACTGCAGCAAAAGCTGGTACCCACGAGCTTACTAAAAGTAAGCGTCTATGCTCCAACCCTCGCATAGTACTATACCGCTCCAAATTCCCAACCAGCCCTACCATGAGACTGCAGCAAAAGCTGGTACTCACAGGCTTACAAAGTAAGCACGCTATACTCCCACCCACGTATAGCATCATGCTGCTCCATTGAAATACCCAAAAGACTACTTTCCAGACATTTAAAGTATAACAACGAAAATAAAGTTAATATGGGCCATGTTGCTTTCATCAAAATCATTAAAATAACGGAAAACTGAAAAGTGATATGTTATTTTACTGAGCAACAAATGATGGAGACGGCAGTGAGTAAGGACCCCGAAATATATATATAGAGGTGGGGTGCAAAGTTGCGTCGTCACCATATAAACTTTTTTTGAGGTTAGATTTTGATTTGCGTACAATCAATGGATTTTTTAGCCAAAGTCATGTTATCAGTTTGCGTATTTTTGATAAATTTTTTATAAGTAAGGGGTTTGATTTGCGTATTTTTGATACTAATTTGATATACACGTATTTATATATATACGCACGTGATAAGTAGATTTAAATATACTAATTGATCTGCATAGTTATGCAAGATATATCATAGATACATCTCTTTTTTTTTTACTTATTTCGAAAGATGTCAAGTTGGAAATACAGTTACGAAAGGCTTTTAAAGCATAAATATGTTGCTTGTATTATACATCCTAAAAAAGTAGTGTGTATTTGTGGCAAAGAAATCAAACTTAATCGAAAGTGGGAAGAGGACTATCTTGACCGTCATGTTCGTCGTTCTGGTTGCAAAGCGGATGAAGGTCAAAGAACATTATATAATTGGTTTCAACCAGCGAAGTTAAAACAAAATGAACAAATTGAGGAGGAAGAGGAATATGATTCTGATATATATGACAATATGGATGACGATGATATAGTGCGAATTGATGAAGAAAATGAAGATGATCAAAATCAAGATGATCAAGATGATCAAAATGAATATTTAGCTATTAATATTAATGAAACATTAGATAATAAAAATAGTAGCAAAAATGCTAAAAAAAGAAAATTAATTTGTATTGGCCTTCGGTCTACAGAAATATCAAGTTACATTAAACGGACTCCTGCACAGTTTGGTGGTAGTCGTCGTATTGAGATTGTTGCACGTGAGCTTTTTCCTAACCTGTTTCCATATAAGTTCAATAGAAAAAAATTGAATTCTAAACAAAAAAGGTTATTAAACCGTGCACTTTTTGCAGAATCTATATGGAAAATCGACCGATCATGTAAGTAGTTCACTAAATATGTGATCTCCAATATTAATTTCTGCTTTATTAATAACTATTTATTTCTTTAAATAAGGTAATGCAATACGTGCAAAAAGTTGTACTGGAGTTGCTGAAGAGGGAAATATATGCCATGAGTGTTCTTTTATTCGGTATAATAAAATTTTACGCAATAGAATAGTGCAACCTTTACCATTACCTGATAATATCAAATTTACGCCCAAATATTATTGGGAAGACAATCCTTTAAAACGATATCTTCAGAATTGTGACCTTCGTGACATTTGGAATACACTTAATAATGAATCGGAAAATCAACAAGAGAATCCGTGGATTATCCTTGCCAATAAAGCTATAAAAGGTGCTTTTAAGGATATGCCAGTATTTACTGGTCTTTGTGAGGTTATGGGTAATGCAATTGAACGAAAAATCAATAACAAATCTAAAAGAAATTTAAAATATAGCGAAGAATTTACCAATTTTTTAACTATTTTGGGAGGAATAAGTTCAAGGGCCTTAGAATTGTTCAGACAAAATTTAGAAGGTCGTTCACTTCAATCAATTCGGTTAGTTAATTTAATATTTTTAAATATAAATTGTTTAAATTTTGATTTCTAATTGTTTTAACTAAATTTATTAGACAATTAAGAAGAAATAATGAAGATTATTTAACGAATCCAGAACTATGTTATGAAAATGTAGCAAGATTTAAAAGATTAGTTGATTCAATAAATTATAATGGTCCAGTTTCAGCAATGACCGATAATACAAAACTCAAGTCACGATTACGGTATTCTCCTAATCTTGGTTGTATTATTGGATCAGTATTTTCAAAAAAAGAAGCAGAAATTAATACATATAATGATATTCCAAGAATTATTAATAAAATTAAACTAGAAAATGGAATGGCTAAGAATGTTCGCGCATATATTTTACAAGTAAGAATTTAATTTAAATTATTTATTAATTATTAATTTTCTAATTTATATATTTTATTGTAAAACAGATACCATTACCGGCATTTCCTCCTGTAGTTATTGCTTTAATTCCGAATAAAGGAACTGAGACTGCAAATGCAATATCGCAATTACATAAACAATTAGTTTTAGGAATTGCACCACAACTTGGTCTTTGTATACTCTCTTTAGGATCTGATGGTGCAATAACAGAATTTCAAGCACAACAGTTAATTTTAAACATTCAAACAAATGAAAAGTTAATAATTAAAGAACCTCAATTTAATATTAACTTTTCTTGTCCAATTTTTAATAATGTTGGTCCTGTAGTAAGGATTCAGGATCCAAAACACGCAAAAAAGACAGCAAGAAATGCCATAATGTCAGGAGCACGATTATTAACATTTGGCAACTCTTCAGCCCGATTTGATCATTTTTTACAACTTATTAATCAATATGATTCTATTATGTATAAGAATGATGTTATTAATCTGGACCGTCAAGATGATGCAGCTGCTTATCGAACCTTTTGTTCTTCAAATTTTCGACAATGTTTAACAGCTGATTATAAAGTTAAAATTGGAATGGAAGGATTTGCTATTTATATTTTTGTAATTGGTAATATTAATTGTATACTATATAAATATTTTAAAAATTAATTTTAATTTTAACATTTATTTTTTATTTATAAAAGGAGAAATCATTGATAGTTATCTAAACCGTAATATTGCACCACTTGAACGAATTAGAATGGTTATGACTGGTTATTTTTTCATTCAATTATGGCGTATCCATATAGAAACTCTTTCTCAAAAATATCCTGAATTTATTTCAATATGACAAAACTTTTTAGCAAACCAAACATTTGCTATTTTCATTTCTCTTTGTGAATCACTTATTTTGTTAATTAAGGCTCATCGTGAATATTATCAACAAGTACCATTTTTACCTTGGTTTCATGGATCTGAGCCTGTGGAACACTTTTTTGGTATTGCGCGCCAATTAAATCCAGATTTTGATTTTGCAGATTTAATCCAAATACTTCCTAAAATATCACAGTATTCCAGAGCTTTAAGATCAAAAAAATTATCTTTTAATCAAGAAAAAACTGTTCGTCAAGGTAATATTATTTAATTACAAATTTTTTTTTTATTTATTTATTTTTTTTTTTTTAACAATAAATTTTTATTAATTTTATTACAGGTTATCATTTTGACTATAATACTGGTAATTTAGAAGAATCAACATTAGAAATATTGAGACTTTGGCCAACAGATGAACAAATTTCACAAACAATAAAGCATTCACGCTACTTAGCTTGTGAACTTGCCGAATTTCTTGGAATGATTCAACCTGCAGATATCGCTCTTGAACCAAATTTACAAGTTTTAATCAATATTCATGAAAAAGAAGTTTCCATGTCATGCAGAAAACTTCATGATGAAAACGATAAAGAACAAGTTGAAAACGCTGAAATTGACCTAACCACAGCATTAACAGAAGCATCTCATGAAATGAAGCGTATTTCAACAGAAGAATGTGATAATAATGATGATGATTTATCAAATTTATTCCAAAAAGAGTCTTCACAACTAAATATAATTGATCAAATTCAAAAAGATCTCTCTGTTTTATATAATGGAGACAGCAGTAAGTGATAATTTTATTATACTTTAAAATTTATTATTTATTCTTTATTAATCAAACAATTTCTCAAATATAGTTAACTCCGGATTTCAATATGAAATAGAAGATAACTTAAATTTTGAAATTCTATTACAACAACGGCAAAGACATGAAGCATATACTTCAAAGCCACTTGAACGAAAATTTAAAACAGTTTCTACAAAAACCAGTGCCATTGCCACTATACAGCCGAATAAAGCTAGTCATTTTGTTGCTTACTTTACTAAAAATGAAAATCCAGAGCAACGATTTGTTACTCAACGTGAAAAACGATGGAAGGAAACCCGTAAAAAAATGTCTATTACCTTAGCTCAATTTCATGCTGAAGAATTGGCAAAATTAAAAAAAAAGCAAACTTTACCTAAAAAGAAGATACAGCAATCTCTTATTCAAAGTGAGTATAATTTCTTGTTATGTATCTTTTAATTGCAGTCAAGTACTAATATAAATTTATTATTTCCAAAAGTTCCAAATATTGAAACTGCGAATATCTCAAAGGATTTTCCGTTAATTAAAGGAGATTATGTTTTCGTTATATATGGTAATCAAATGTGTGTAGGGAGAGTTATTGCAGTTTATTTCGAAGCTTATGGCAATCATTGCTATTCTGAAGAAGCAATAACAAATTTAGATGATATATCTTATATTTCTTTACATGTTTATATTCCAATCCATCATGTATTTAGTGATTTAACTAGCGAAGGGTGCAATATTTTAGCTCATCATCTTGCTTCTAATATCATTTATCATATTGGACCAACTAGTGTGTTAGTTGAAGAAAATGTATTGAAGCTACTGGGAAACGAAAAACAGTATTATTATAGTTATTTTGGTCGAAAAGATGTAATTGAAACAATACGATAGTGTTTTACATTTAAAATTTATAATAAACAACGGCAAATCACATGATGATTAAGTCATAAGCTTGGTTTGCTTATTTTTTCTAACTATTTGAGGTTAAGTGTCAAATTTGCGTACTGACCTTATTAAAAACCCTTGCGTACAGCTATTAGTAAAAAATTTTTGTGTCCTCTGACCTCTATATATATATTTCGGGGTCCTAGTGAGTAGAAGGTAGTGCGGATTTAATATAGAAGGTGCGGAAGTTCTGATATACAAAAACGGTAGGGCTTCGAAGAAAGTAGAGAGGGAGAAGACGAAAATGGCTTATACGCAAACACCAGCTGACCAATCGGCAAACATTTCTATGCCACTGACACCTTCCGATAGAATGTACATGGAGTTAGCAAATATGCCGGTCAAGAAATACAAAAAAACTACACCTTTGTGATAGTAGATATGATTATCAATTGGAGATTAGAAGAGGATTCGGACTTGGATTCAGATTCAGTTGATGCAGAACTGGGAGTAGTTAAAGCCTCTAAAACAAGATAATATTGTGCCAGAAGAAGTTGTAGAGGTCATAATGGATTATCGTGCAGCCAAAAAGATCGATACCAAACGCCCAGTGAGAAATCCAAAGGTATAGCAGAGGTAAAGCAAAGCTGACGGAACTGGAAGAGATCTTTACAATAACTTCCAATGATATGGAATGGCAACAAATTAGGACAGAGTCTTCGTACATGTTGAGCAAAGAACAAGGTCTAGGAAGCCTGGATCAGATGAAAGACTGGGCTATGAAACATAACAACTTCTTGAGGATGGGTCATAAAAGCGGAGAAATTTCGCAAGAATACACCACGTTGCGATTTCATAAAATGACTCAAAGACAAGAATCGTATGACCGATGAGAGAGAGGTAGGAGAAAAGAAACCTAAGACAGAGAGCCCATACAGTCCGGAGGCGCTAGTGGCAGTGGCTAGAATTAATGTGATGAGAGACGCAATAAATGGGTCGCATCTCACAATCAAAGTCACGTGATTTCACGTAAAAAAGTTTCTGATAACAAATTTTATGCGGGTACGGCGATGACTAGGTCAAATGAGTGACTGGATTTTGGACTAACGACCCCTTCCAAGCCAACCGTGCCATTGCGTCGAACTGCTTTTAGCTTAGTGTTTAACATAGGGGGTTCTTGATTAGTTTAGAATTCACAAACTTATTAATTTACTTTTTGTAGGGAAGGCCGTGGGGAAAGAGGAGAAATAAAACTGGGCGAGTAGACCATTTGGTAATTTGTCTGGTTTGATCACACACTTTCTCCGGATACGGTTTTTTCATAGGCTAGAGTTGGTTGTGAGCTAATTTTAATTTTTTTTTTGGATTTCTTCGCGTTAGGTTCAATTTTTGTTATAGTTATTGTGAGAGAACGAGGTTTATTTATTTGGTTGGCATCTCTAAGTAGTTCTAAATATTATATATGTTAAAAGAAATGCGTTGCAAAAAAAAAAAAGTTAATATGGTCCCAACAAAATACCTAGAAGTCTACTTAAATATTTCCTTAGACAGACGATGAAAAGGAAAGTTATGAAAATCGACTATGGACTAGAGGAAGGGGAAGAGATGACAAAATGAAACGCCCAGAACTTACAAAAGAGAAAGACGAAACGTTAGTAAACGTTTCGCTAAATAAAAAAAAAAAACAAGAAAAAAAATCAGAATTTCGTAAGTTTACCTTATATATATATATACTATATCAAAATTCTGTCCAAGAGGCGTCCGGAGAGCCGTGGTCCTAGACAACAAGAGTGGAAAAAGGTGAGAGAGAAAAGAGCAAAAAGCAGAAGGTTTTTATAGTTTTTATACTTTATAAATTTATGGAGTATAAAAATTTTTCCATAAAAAATGACTCATAATTATATTGATCGTATGATCATGAGTCTACAACTGTTACGCGTCGCGTATAATTATAATAGGAAATTGTTAGCTGATCAAAATCACAATTTAAGGTTCCGATTTCCGATTTAGATATATTAGTATTTGTAGACAAAGCTTGTTATATTCAACGAATATAATATAATAATAATAAATATATTCTAAAGGAATCGTTTAATAATTATTCGAAGTGATGCTTGGGTTGTACTACTGCCACCTTTTGGAAATACTATAAATACTATGCAAAATGGTAAAAAGTTAATGTCGTAATAGTGATTCTACGATACACTACGGTTGAAGTTGTATGTAATTTAAAATACGGTTATTATTAGGTTATCATTGGAAAAAAATACTATAATAGAATTTCAAACAGAAACTTCATTTCGGGTTATTCTGTATTTAGTTACGGTATAGTTTTGTTATTTTAGTGCGCTGTTATGTATTTTTTTATCAGGTACACTTAAAAATTTTACGGTGCAATTATTTGCAGGCCATAATGCCTTATTCTTTAAAAAAAATTGATTATTTCAGTCAATTATGTTGACAGGATTTAATTTATTTTATTTTGTCAAATCATCTGGCCAAAACAATTTTAGATTTACAGCAGGTATGTTACGAAACTATCTACATAAGATCATACCCGCCAGAATTTAAACTAAAATAAATTTAATATTACTGAGTAGTAAAATCACGTTAATAAAATCACGCTATTCATATTATTCATCACGCTGCACCACATTCTACACTTTTTGTTATTTTTATTATACTGTATATTCTGGGGACGGTGTGTGAATCACACACCCATAAAAAATTTTTTGGATAAAACTCCGATAAATGATCATTTTTCTAGTTTTTATTCCGACATACAGTATGACCAACTTTCTATAATGCCGATAATTTGTCATATAATTAATTTCTTAATGCCAGTAAAATGTTATAATTCTGGCCAATTTTCATGATTACGCTGGAAAAGTTTGTGAAAGATCAAAATCACATCGTACCATGATTTACTACGAAATCCCGACGATCAGAATCCCAAAACCTGACGTTTCACAAAAATTCAAAGTCACGAGTCACGACATTTCCCGACCTCATGAATACAAAAATTTTAAAAAAATTAATTATTAAATTTTAATCAGCATATTAATAATAAAAAAATTATATCATTATATAAAAAATTACATTTTTTATTTATTATAAAGCAAAAAAAACCGAAATTTATTATTATTTTTTTTTAATTAATTAACTAATGACACTTAATAATAATTTATTAAAATTTGTAAAAGTATTATTAATATAAAAATTTAAATTTTTACAAATAAAAAAACGTTAATTCTTGCGAAACATACAAATTTATTACATACCTGATACCAATAAAAATATTAATTGTTATAACATCTATATAACTAAAAAAAATTGTCTGACGTTTGGATTAGTCTCCGCATAAATAATTTGAATTGTAACTTGGCCATATAATTAAATACCTGTGACAATCGTGACATGCTTCCGCCTAATCTATTTATGGTTAAAAACTATTCGATCCTTATGGCATTTCCAATCATCTAATCCAATTTCAGTTTGTCCATTTTTTTTCCTTTTCTTCTTTCGATTTAGTTTTCCGAAAAATTTGTTTTTTCTCATTCTTTTCCCATTTAGGTTTGATTTTTTTTTCCCAAACTGAAAAATTATTCTTCTATTGTTTTCTTTTAACCGATTTTTTTATTTTTTTTCGGTCTTTTTGGACAAAATTATTGTCCTTTTTTTTCAAGAATTTTTTTCAGTAAATTTTTTTTTTAAACCAATTTCTTTCTTTATCCTTTTTCTTTTCCCCAAAATTTTTTTTTCTTTATCCTTTTCGGTTTTTTTTTCATCCCGATTTTTCTCTTTGTTCTTCCCCACAAATTTTTTTTTTCATTTCATTTTTTCAAATTTTTTTGATTTCTCCGGTTGACTTTTTTTCCAATCTGATAATTTTTTCCCTTTTCCTTTTTTGGTTTGGCTTTTCTTCTTTCGAACCAAATTTTTTTTCCCAAATACATTCGTTCACCATTTAGGTTTGGATCAATGATCAGATCGATGTTGTGGCGCCACGGCAATTGCCTTTTTCCCGATTCTTATTATTAATAATAATAATATTTTTTTGTATTAAGCTCAATAATAGACTAACATAAATTATATAATTACTTATTTATTACTTTTTTGTAACAATAGATCGTTATAATTAATTTTCTGGGAATTTTTTTTTTTCATATTAATTAGTGAGATATATTTTTAAAAAAAAAAAATTTTTTTGTAACAATGTAACAATAAACTACTTATACAAAATTGTTTTTGTTATGAATTCATAAATTTCACAGTACTGCAACATTTAATAATAATATTTCATATACTGTATAACACTTGCACATAATTCATTATTATTTGCATAATCATATAAATTGTGTAATTATTTACATTTATTTCCTACTAATACCATCATAATAATAGTTAAAAACTAGACCTATCCATACTACAATATGTGTGTTATTATTACTCTCTTACTTGATGGGCAAGTATCAATAGTATCATCCCCGGCGCAACGCGCCTAGTTACATCTAAAAGAAAAATAATAATGTAAAATTTTTTTTTTAAAAAAAAAAGATAATAAGTTTTGGGATAATGAGTGTGAGATTTTGAATTTTTTGGGATTATGATTCGTAATTTTGAATGGGACGCGAGAGTCGCGAGACGGGATTATAATTTATCCACTCCTTAGTAAATATAAGATTATATCACGTGATTTGTATAAAGTGGTTGACGCCTTACAGATAAATAAAAATAATAATTAATAATGCGAAAAACTCTTTCCCCTTTTCCTTCATTTCGGTAATTTTCCGCAGTAATTTTGTGCAAGTTTCTTTTTTTTAGTTTCTATTTGAAACAACTAAAGGGAAGAGGCCCTACAGGGCACCTCGGGCATAAGACGAGGTTTTACTGTTCTCATTATACCCATATTTAAGGGTTGGTTATGTCTTATTTTCCAAGAGCCGACGATTTTGCTCTTGCACCCGGATACGACTATACACCTGCTGGTCCTAATGATTTCATTTTCAACCATGATACTTTACAAACAGTACCTCCTATTGATAACAATTTATCGGATACACCTTCATTTCATAACGACTTTGATGATATTAGGCCTTTCTCTTCACCTAACAAAACTTATATTTTTTCTACAAAATACGAAAAGTTCCACGTGACTCCACACCATAGAGCCGGTTATAACAAGATTTACAATTTTAGGCGCTAAAAAAGTTTCTTTTTTGAGCTGGTTGATCATTTACCAGACACCAATCAACTTCAATTGAAGATTTACACAAATGATTATCATATGTCCTCTAACCCGATTAATCATGAATCCACGAGCCGACTCCCTAATTTCAAATTTCAAATATCGAAACAGCTCACGCACTTTTTTTCAACACAAAAAGTTATTCCTCGAAAATTGCAAGACAAATTTTTTACACTTATTCGTAAAAAACTATTGGAGCGTTTGGATTTTATAAGATCATGTGCCCAAAAAAAAGACAAAAATAATCATATGACTAAAACTTTTTTTAATTTTTCGTATAAAAAATATAGATTTTATTTTGGAATTTACCTCCCATGCAATCACACTCACACAGTAGGTTTACTTCCCAATACTACTGCGACTTGCTCTATCCCGGTCCCTTTTACAATGTCACATGATCGTCATGCCTGTATCATCCACCATAAGAATCTAGTTCTATACTATATTTCGAAGGATAACAAAATTCCTGACTTTAGTCGTTGCAAAACATTCAAAGATTTCCACGCATCTCGCCTCTACAACAGATGGACTAAAAAGAAATTTCATCAGAATTTTTCGACCCGATTGGGAATCTCTTTCACCACATCATACCACGCATATAATACTAACGTCGTTGCTACAAAAGGACTTGATTTTATTTATGGCAAAACTTATGGGAATTTTCAATTCACTCCCAGTTCTTGTCCAAAGGTAAAGAAAAGACAAGAAGCACGTTTTAATGGTCTGATTAGACACACTTTTCATAACGCCAAGTTGGATGACAATGCGCTACCGGATGATAAACTCCACGTTGCACGACATCACAAATTATTATTCCAAGAAAATCAAAGTTTTATCACTCCCATTAAACATCTTCGATACAAGAAAAGATTTGTCATACCGACAAAAGGTTATTATACCTTTCCAATCCCTTTTCATAAACCAAGGACAGTATCTGTACCTGCTATAGTGGAACCGATTTGCAACGATAGCTCTGTCGCACCTACACCGACGGCTAATTCTATATCCCCAGTCAATACAAACATTTGGGAGAATGTACCTGAACATTACATTCCTTTAATTCCTCCATATGATATTTACGAAGGAGGCCGATTTAATCAACCTTCTCGTGGTAAAATCTGGAAAAAGAATTTACAACCGCTTGCAGTCGGCAGTGATGGCTGGTTAGCCTTCATGAAAGTAATTTATGATGAACACGTATCAAGGACCAAATATCTACAAGGAAAAATCGACGCTGGAATACAATGGGAAACCACCCCTGATCAAGGCGAATATCGGAGTAATCTTTGCAGTCTTGTAATGCAAGTCACAAACCACAAACATGAATATGAAATGAAATTATTAGAGATTTCATCGTCAGTACCTCCTGAATTACCAATTGTAACTGGACCGATTAATAACAGCGAACGCAAAAAACGCGAAAAATGTCACTTACAAAAACTAAAAGAATTTGATCGGAAAAAACAGGAAGATACTGAAATCTTAGCAGACTTACGTTCTCGGGTTAGCAATGAGGAAGATATCTTTTACATGGAATACTATAAGAAAGATTATAGTCTGGCATATCAGCCTTGTGCTATCATGGACGATCGACCGCTTAAATGAAAGGCCAGAGATAATGGCAATTTAGATACTCACTATGGCTATCATATAGATAAAAAAGTTTGTATATTATCCGCTTCAAAGGATTTAGAAAACAGTTCCTCTACTCGTACTACTTAAGTACTCGTTAGTCATTTTAACATAACCACTTATACATATATTAGTTTCTTTTTGTACATGCTTTTTAGCATTTTAGTCCTTTTTTTTACGTTAGATTTTTCACAACTTAAAATAGTGTAAACCATTCCACCTCTTACAGTATTTACAGGTGGCAACCCTTGTGGTTGAAAGAAAAATACGGATTAATGCTCGTCAATTAATTGAATTTTGCTATTTATAATGTGTAGATTGCCACAACTTCTTAATATTTAGTCAGTGTCCTTTATCATTTTCTTTCTTTCGGTTCATTGGTTTCTTTCTGGTAGGGGAGGGGATCATTCTGGCTCATTGGATTTAAAGAAGTTCGGGTCCATCTTCGGGGGGATGATAGCTAGAAGTAGGATAGCACAGTTACGTTTATGTCCTGTTAATAGTCTGTCCGTCTTCACATAAAATAAATAAATAATAATTAATAATGCGATTATCTGCTATTCTTTCCTAGTTCAGTCAGCCCCTTATTGTTAAACAATTGTATTGCGCAAGATTACAAAGATACTATAGGAAAATACTTGATGTGCCACCAATATGAGTAGTACGAAAAGTCTATTTTTATTGATCATGAACATATGATTTTTTCTATGATTCAATTATTAGTCATTTTGACAACTCTAACGTCATTTTGACACTTTTTTTTTTCATTCTTCCAATATTTTATAGAAAAGCAAGTTTTGTGATTGTAAAAAACAGTCGGAAGAAACGGAAAGATATTATCTCATTATTAGTCACTATGTATTTGAAAAAAGTATTTATATACCCTCAATACCACCTCTTTTTTATTCGTCGGGTCTATCTTCTCTCTGTCTAGGACTTCTCTTCATTAGGTTTTCTTTCAGGCCTTTTTCTTTACGTCCTCCTTTGGGTATGTAGGTTGGGAGTGTGGGTGGGGTGTGGGAGTGTGGGCGGGTTGGGAGTGTGGGAGTGTGGGAGTGTGGGTTTGGGAGTGTGGTGTTTTATTTTTTTTTCGTCATCTTTTTTTTTTAGGTCTATCCTCTCTCTGTCTGGGAGTGCGGGTTGGGAGTGTTGGTAGTGGAGTGTGGGAGTGCGGGTTGGGAGTGTTGGGAGTGTTGGGAGTGTTGGGAGTGTGGGAGTGTTGGGAGTGTGGGAGTGTGGGTTTGGGAGTGTGGTGTTTCATTTTATTTTTTTTCGTCATCTTTTTTTTTAGGTCTATCTTCTCTATATTTAGGTCTTCTCTTCATTAGGTCTTCTTTTAGGCCTTTTTCTTTACGTCCTCCTTTAGGTATGTTGGTTGGGAGTGTGGGTAATGTTTCATCTTATATTTTTTTCATCTTTTTTTTAGGTTTATCTTCTCTGTCTAGGTCTTCTCTTTATTGGGTTTTCTTTTAGGGTTCAAAATTTATTACTACTTTATGGAAAAATATATTCATCATAAATTCCCTTTGCTGGCAGTCTGAAACTTTGTAAGGTTGAAGAATATTTCTTTCACCCGATATCTCTTTTCTTTAGGTCTCCTTTTGTTTTGACTAAATAATCTTGAAATGGAGGAATAATAAACTAAGAATATGTTCTCTGATGTGGACTAGCAATCTATTTTTATAACTTCAGACGCAACAATATCTTCGTCTTCGGAAATGATTGAGAATTGTTCAAATAATACTTCGATATATACTAATGAAGTTGATGGATTTATAAGATTATAATTAAAAGGGCTTCTTTATTTACATGTTTTAGATGTTTGAATTATAATGCACAAACAGAAAGTGAATTATATAAAAGATGCGAAAATGTTTTAGAAATGAATGAGTAATTTACTGTATATTATTTGTAATTAAAATACTTATTAAATAAATAGCATATTAATACTTAAATTAATATATTTTACAAATCATACGACGTTCACATAATATTTGTAGTATATAATATATAATAAATTTGTAAGTATTTTTATTTAATAAATGAATAAGTTAATACATATACAAAAAAAAAAAAAAGAATTATTTAAATTACAAACTAAGAAATTACCTAAAACTATAATCTTTAGTGTTTAAATAATTCAATAATTGACTGATATTCCTATCAATAAAATTTATAAGAAATAGTTTAAAATCCATCTATAAAAAAAAAAAATTAATTAATAAATAAAAAAATTTTATTATTTTATATTAAAGAATAGAAAGAATAGACGAACCATCAGGAATTTCAAATTCATATTGTTCCTCTGAATGAAGTTTTGGATTATTTTGTACTTCATCTATAAAAATAAGATAAATTAGAGTAATAGAATTAATTAACTATTATATACATAAATAATTATATTCCTACCATTAATATCAATATTTGATTGTTGTTGCATTATTTCTCTCTCATCATAGTCATTTTGAACATCTACTATTATTAAATAAATCAAATTTAACAATTATTTATCTTTTCTTCAACTTAATAGTGTTATTGTACAAAAAAAATTAGAATGGAAAAATTAATAAATATTTTTACTTACCATTCTCCATTTTCAATTTTTTAAATAATCTGGATCCTTTATCATTATATAAAATTAAAATACAAATTAGTATTTATTTATTATAAAAGTTTAATATAAAAATAAATTACCTTCGTTACGATTCTTAAAATTAATTGACGTATACTGATTACTTATTGTACTAAAAATACTAGCTATAATAAAAATAAATCATTTGTTATTTTATTATGTTCATTATATTTATTTGTTTATTTACCATTTTTTTGAGTGATTTGTTGTTTAAAGTTGGAAAATCTTTGGCGATATCTTCATCATTAAGAGTTAAAATCCAATGTTATTTTAAAAATATATACTTACAATTATCAGAAATACTACTAAAATCATATTTTTTACTACTAGTATAAAATGCTATTTAAAAAAAAGATTATTTCAATTTATTATTAATTAAAACTTTATACTAAAGAATTATACTTTACGTTACCTTCTTGTTCTTCTATTATAAATTAATTAAAATAAATATTATATTAAATAAAAGAATAAATAGTCAATAATAATTAAATAGCCATACCTTTCGTTGCATTTTTTGGTTCTGGCAAATTTTCAAATTTATGAATTTTACTTGTAAATAGTTTACTACTAATATTATTATTTGTTACATTATCCATTTTTACTTTTAGTTGAGGTAATTCATTTGGTTTATTTTGATAATATGACATAATTTCATTCATCTTAAATCTAAGTGTATTAATATCAGGTCTTTTTAATGGATCAGCATCCCAACATTGTTCCATTAAACTTTTATATTCTGAAGGAATTTCTGATATAATTTTTGGTCTCATACCATTAATAATATTAATTGCAAGATTACAATCATGTTCATAATTTATAAATGGTAGCTGTCCAGATGAAATTTCCCACATAAGCATTGCAATACTATAAACATCAGATTTAAAAGTATATTCTTTTCCATTAATAACTTCAGGAGCAATATAAGGAAGATTTCCATATATGCATGTTGATGATTTATTTGCAGGACCACAAAATCCAAGATCACTAATATGCCAAGAATTATTTAACTGTGAATATAATACATTTCCAGAATGCAAATCTCTATGAATTGAATTCTCTTCATGAATCCAATAAAATGCATTAATTATTAAAAAAGTAATTCTAATTTTTTCTTTCCATATAAATTGATCATGATTTTGTTGTAAATATTCTCTTAAATTTACATCACATTTCCTCATAACAAGCATATAATTTCCATTTGATGGATCTTGTGTTAAACCAAAACATTGAACAATCTCAGCATATTTGTTACTTATTGTTAAATGTGATTTAGCCTATATATAAAAGATGATTTTGAATTTTAGTTTCTTATAAATAAAGAAAATATCTTAAATTTTTTTAGATTACAAACCTCTTCAAACCAACTTTGACTTGCACTTTCAACATTTTCTAATTGTTTAAGTATTACTTCATGAGATCCATATCTTATTAATTTTCGTTCATTAGAATCCCATTCTTTATATCTTCCATCAATCCAATCTGCTGTATAAATTTTAGAGAAACCACCTCTTGTTAGATATTCAATATTTTGTAAATTATTATATGGGATCCATTCAATTATTTTATTTGGTATAAGTGTTTCCATTTGACAATTTTTTATTAAATTATCAATATCATTATTTCCAGAAGTCCAATTTGAAAAATTAACTTTTAAATAACTTTGAACACAATATTCACAATATAGTGTAGCTAAACATTTTTGATTACAATTTTCACAAATTCTTCTTGTTCCTGAATTCAAACGAATTTTATCTCGATCATAATTTTTATTATTTAATCTTATTGCTTCAGTTTTTTCTTCTTCTGTAAGAGAATTATCAGCAAGAATTGTTTGTTGCATAAATTCATAATGTTTATGAAAACCTTTGTGAATATTATAATCAATTAATGTAAATGCTCTCATAAGTGCAGCTTGAACTATTTCTATTCGAATAGTGGACATAATTATTATAAAGTGTGTTTAACAATTTGTTAGAAATCGAAAAAAATGGTGTAACCGTTAAACCCGCTGATTGACCTTTTATTATGTGACAGTTGTGATACCACATTAACTATTACACATATAATGAAATGCTACAAATAAAAAATATCCTTTTTAGGTAAACAGGCAAACTCCATTATTAATTTAGTAATTGTATAATATAAGCCTCGTACAAAATAAAATATTGTTTCGGAACTAAGATCATCATCTGACAGACCGGATTTTTATTTTCGTACAATTTATAGAAATTATGAAGGAATTAATAGCTGTTATAGCCTAATATGGATAATGCAAAAAAAAAAATAAAAAAAATTTGAGTATTTAATATTTGAGAAATTAATGTAAAATTTTACTTAACTGTGAAACATGTTTTAAAATAAAAGAATTAAAAATTCTTTCTTTTTTTTTTTATCAAACCTTCATACAATATATAACATAATAAACTACAATATTTTGAAATTATTTATTGAAGTTGTTATTGAATAAAAGTCTCATGAAATATTATTGTAATAATCAAATTTTATTTAAAAGTTAACATTACGATTTTTTTATTCGTTTTTTATCAATAACAGATAAATAATTTTCAATGAAAAAATAGCTGTTATAACGATTTTACTTATAAAATACAGGAATTTCTTATATAGATTTATAATGAATTAATATAGTACATTTGATTTTACCAACCATTGAAATTTATTGATGATGACATTATTACGTTGAAAATAATTTTACAGATTTATATGTAATAATTTTTTATAAAATAAAGCATTTTACAATGAATATTAAATATCATCACAAAAAAAATAAGGAAATTTTCGTTGACGGAACTAATTTATTAGTACAATTCAAATTCTGAATGTTTCTAAATACATTAAAAATTTAAAACCACTTAATTAGTGAAAACTCCCTTGGTTATTTAAAGTGCTGAAATTATCATGCACAGTAAATATAATTATATATTATAAAGCGTCGACATTGATAAAAAAATATTATTTGGGTACTCTCACACCTTCTGAGCATCATCTCTTATTCAATTTAAGTTTGAAATTAAATCATTAAATGATAAGCACATTTGCGTCAATAAAGTCATAAGCTATGGGAAGTAAAAAAACAAATTATAATAATTTGAATAAGCTGTAAATACAACTATCAGTCAGACTAATTACATGTTAAGTCATTAGGTTTAAATTTTGATGAAAAAATATTTATTCAAATAAATATCACATTACAATTCCCGGGTAAAAATCAAGTGATTCACATGTTAAAAGTAAAATTTCTTACATTTAATAAGCTTAATTTTACAAGTACTAAATTTTAATAAATTAAACTTTGTGATGACAAATCACATTACATTTTTTATATAAATAATTTGTAATACTCAAGAATTAACAACCAAAATTGTAATTTCGACAAAAAATATTTTGTTTTCGTATCAAATATCATAAAATGAAAACATGGGTAAATTACTTTAAAAAAAATTAACTTAAAAAATTAACTTAAATGTTTTATTTACATCATTCATTGAGGTTTATTAAAATAGAAACGGATGTCTTTTTTCGTCACTTAAAAATCTTTTAGGATTATGTATTTATGTAAAGACAGAAGGAATATTACGTTATAAAGCGTTAAAGTTAATATCGGAAATATTTGATGAAATGCTTTATTTGAAATTCTTTTTTTGACCTTTATTTTTTATATAATGGGAATTATATTAAATTATACGTACTGGCCAATTTAAGATAAATATTTAATATAATATAATACAGTAGTAGCTTATTTTACCGCTTTTAGTTATAACTATAACACTATTATATTCTCAAATTTTATAGTGGAATGCGCAATAAAAAAGAAGAAATCTTACTTTTTGTTTATTTATCTAAAATGGCTTCAATTACTATTAAATCTAGTACAGGAGTTAGCAGACATTTCAAGGCGATTGTTAGTTGATATTTATGTTTCATAAATAACCACATATTATCATATATGTTACAGGAACTAGTCTGTTCTTCAACTCTTGTTAGTACTCTAGAGATTTTCATTATATTTACATTCAATTGTATTGTAATACGTCTTATATTTTTAAGATACAACATTCAGTACAAGTTTATTAAATTGTGTAACAAGTTACTTATTAAAATTGTAAATAATATTATATACAGAAATATATAAATCAGAATATTTTTGAACTATAATATTATGTAATTTAAATTCATTTACTTCATGTTCTAAAAAAAACAATTCTTCATCCGTATCAATATCAGGAAAAAATTCCGAAAAAGCCAAATATTTAACCCTTTCCCTTCTCATAATATATTTTTTTATATAAAATAAAATACTTACACTTTCATTTTGCATCATATTACTAATTAATAATTTCTTAATAAAAGTATTTTGAGAATTTTTTAAAAATATTTCAAAATCATTTGAATTAAATGAAAGTGATAATCGTAAATATTCTAATTTAAAAGGAAGAACTTGACCCAAGTTTTGTAATACAATTGAACCTAATTCGTCATAATAATTATCAATAGTAAGATAATTAATGGTTTGTTTAGTATTTTCAATTAATTGATAAATATTATTATCATCAGGCATAGTTGAAGTAAAGCGTCTAATTTTTGTACAATATTTCATAATTAATTTAAGAAATTGTTGTCTTGATTCTTCATATTCTTCACGCATAGATCCAAATTCAAAATTTTCTAAATAATCTCCACATTTTTGTAATAACAAATGTAATGATTCAATGTATAATATTTCCTTCATAAATAAAGATCTCAATTTAAAAGGTTTAATAACCTTAATGATTTGTTGAACAAAATCGGAATTCAAAGAATCACAATAAAGGATATGAATAGAATCTAAAACATTCAGATGATCGAATACTTTTTTTAAAATAGTAATTATATTTTTAAAATCAATATTATCAAATATAATCGTATTTAAAGTATTTGAACAATTAGAATTTTTTAATGATAAAAATGGGTGATATAAAATAGCATTACTAGATCCAAATGAAATTATTTTGAGATTATGTTGTGACATAATTATCTGTGATAAATATTTTTCAATTAATGAAAAATCATTAATATTAGATAAAGCAAAATAAAAATAAAAATGAAGTGATGTGATTAAATTGCAATTAGAACATAAAAATTTTAAAAAAGGAACGATGTTTTGAAATGAAATATTATAGGTATGAAATTTTAAATTTCTAATATTATATATAAAATTTGGATTTTGTAAAATTAATTCCATAGTATCATTAAAATTTACAATATTCATAAACATCACAATTTCAAAAGAATTTAAAATTCCTTCATTTTCAAGGAACACTTCAAATAATGATCTATAAACTAATTTTTCTAGTTTTTCATTATTCTTAATCACCAAAGTACCAACCCACTCTTTAATAGAAAAATAAATGCTACTTATATTTAAATGTTTGATAAAACTGGGATAGTTGAATAATGTATTTGAACTTAATAAATCATTATTGATTCCATATTCATTAAATTTTGCTTTACCTTCATCATTTAAATGGCGTAAGTAAACTTCAATATAATGACAATTTCGAGTAGGAATTGAAAAAGGACTTTCCCATAATAATGGAATCGCTAAACGACACCAAAATCTATTAACTAAAATACACGAATGTAATGTTGAAAAATCTTTTCTAAAATGTTGTATAATTTCATTTGTTAATTCTGGTAAATCTCCTGAAAATATTTTTGAACATGTCATGTTGGTTGAAGAAAAAAAAGAGTTTGCTTTCATTTCACAATGGATGCAAATTTATCAATTTTCGAGTACAATTTATTAAATATTCCATAAAAAGGCAACAATATGACCTGCAATAAAAAAATTTGTAAATCGTTCCTTTTTTTAGTTAATTTAAGTAAATTCCGGATGCCCCCCCCCTTAGTAATCGTGTCCTAAAATCACGTCACTGTGACAAAAATCTATTTAGGCAATTCGGATGCAAATCCGGATCGTTAATCCGGATACATTCATTAAATTAGGTTTTATCCGGGTTAATCCTATCCGAATTTTTAAACGATCATATGAATCTTTAAAATTTATTGGTTAAAAGTTTATTTTTCGATACATACCATAATAATTATATTTGATTTAGCACCATGCATAATTTTTATTTCATGTTTCTATTTATTCTTACAATTCTCAAAAGAAAACTTCAATGATAATCGATAAATTATAAATGATATCATTTGTCTCAATAAAGAAGAAAATAAAAAGTATACAGTCAGACTTAAATATAACGATATTCGACTATTAAAACCTCGATATAACGATAAAATTTTACTTTCTCACTATATGAGAGAGCGTATAAATATTGATGTGACGATATTTTATATGGATACATATCGTTATATCGGAGTTTGAATGTAACTATAAACTATGTACGACCGTCAATCGTGTAGTCGTTACTCGTTAGTCAACTTCATGAAATTAAAATTTGATAAATCGAAGCTTCGGAAAAGAAACTTTATTTCATCCGGATGATCCTCCGGATATCATTAACCGGATTAACTTTCACTTTACAATTTTTGTTTAAATTCCAAGAAAAGCTGTTGTACAACCATTTTTTATCGTATATATGGAGCATAAGCCGCGTGAAAATCTAATATGGCGTTACTATAGTTTCTCTTTTTGGTCTAAATATTAAATATAATCAAACGCTGTGTGACTGTTTCATAGTTTGTCACGTTTTTATTTCATGCATAATTTCATAAATCATACTTTTTTTAGAAGAGTGCCTCACTTTAAGTTTATTTTACGTATTTTTTTTTTATCGGATTATTAATGAAGGAAAAGGTTTTTATCACTTTTTTTCTTTCCTAAAGTAATCAAATTTCAATAAGCAACCACCGATACCGTCTTTACCGGTTTGCATGGCTGGCCTATTTAATAAAGTTCAACATGCCCCACGCGCTCTTAAAATTAAAAGGTGACGCAAATGGTATAAACTAATTATGGTTTAATATTTTGCATATAATAATATATTTCTTCCTGGTTAGAAAATAATATAGTCCTTCTTTACATTCCGGATTTCCAAAAATTTTGAATAAATAAAAAAATAAATAAACAAATAATTTTTCTTTTCTTTTTTTTGTTAAGATCGTTTTACCGAGAAGAAGGTTTTTTTTTGTTATCGCAAATTCTGTAGATACTGTATGTGGGAAATTTATTTCGAAAATCTAATGTAGAAAAAGGAAAATCTTGTAGTTAGAAATATTAGTAATAGAAACAAATTAGCTATAGATATTTTCCGTAAATGTGAGAATAATTTGATGCTGGGACTCGCATTAAATTACCTGGGATCCGCGTACTCCCTCCCTCTTTGATAGCATTATATATTTCTCTCGCTACTCTGATTAGTTATATATCTGAAAAGTCAATAAAATTTCGCACACTTCAGAAATTTTCATCGAAAACTTTTACCATTGGTATCAGGTTAGAATGTGTTATTAGATAATACATACGTTTCACATTTTGGACTTTGTGACATCAGAAAAAATTATTCCCCGATTGGCATGTTACTGGATTTGTGCAATAATCGGCTGAATAATCTTACCACACCACCCTCTGATGTCTAACCGTCACCGTTCACGTTGACTGCCTCGTTCGCGTTGTTTATATTTATCTCAACGACTTTTTTTTGAGTGGTCTGATCTCTATATGTCACCTGCATAATATGTCACCTGTGTTACCATAAGCATATAGCGGTGGATGATCCCAATCGGCTTCATATATACCGTTATTTCATTTTGTTTAAAGCGTAAAAGTTATACTCTACAAAAAAACGTGTATTAGTCATGTCAAGAGATCATGAATATTTTAAACGAAATCCTGAGACTTGGGTATTATTGATTTCTTAAACGAGTGTGGACACAAAGATAGATAGATACACAAAAAGTCTCAAAACCCATCGCAAGGAGAGAGGAGTATAAAAGCGCAATCGCTTCTCGACGGATTTATACTAGTAAGTAAAAGTTCTTTAAGTCGTGATGTGAGCGGGGGCCTGCTAGGTTGTCGGTCATTCAAGGCTGTTAGCTGAGCCACGAAACTGATGCTGGCGCATAGGTAACTTGTTAGGTTATCTGATGCCAAAGGCTGCTAGCTGATCCAGCATTGGATTCACTAAGGCACAGTTGGCCTGCTAGGTTGGCTGATGTCCTAGTGGGATAGGAAATATTAGTTAAGAATTATTATTAATTTCCAGAATTTCCACGCTAAGGTCTTAAACCAGATCGTACAAAAGCGAAAAGAAGCGCACGCAAAAACAAATTCACATCCACTAACCGAATCTAAATACGGGACTGTGGTAAATGGAGGAACCGTTAAAAATATAAGCAGTGGAGTGAAACTTATGACAAGAAGAGATCGGGACGAGGTAATTTTTTAATGAGAATTGACAGAACGTTGGCTGTTGGTTCTAATTTTTCAAGGTCACGTTCGAAAACACATCACCATCATCAAATTCGCAATATTCGGAGATTGCAAGGTCAAACAGAGGAACTCAGATTAAAACCACAAAAGGTTCCTCCGCAACTGTATTCTCTGATAGTAAATCACAATGCTTGGACAAATCGCCTATTGAGGAGGCTGACGAACAAATTTCCATTGCCGATGAAACAAACATGATGATTTAGAAGAATTAGAACAGCAAATAACATTCAGTTCATTAAATGAGGTTACAGTCAAACCTTTGTATAACGATATGTCGGGACATATATGGAATTTTTAGGAAATATCGTTATATCAAAGTTATACCGATATTATATGTCCTCACATATAGTGGGAAAATAAAATTTTATCGGTATATCAAGTTTTTAATAATATATCGGTATATCGAATATCGGTATATCGAGGTTAGAATATGGGTTTGAATAATATTTTTACGTTTAATGGAAAGTAGGAGAACATTCTGATCCGCCTCATTTTTAAGAAATTTAACGCCTAATTTTTTTATCACTTATTAATTTTCTCGATTTTTTATGATTATTAAAGATTATTAAGGGTTTATTTTTAATATAATTTATTTTTTTTTTCCATGAGGTGAAAGAAATGTTCAATCACAATCACGCATTATAATCACTTTCTTATTTGGTGCAGGATTTCAGCTTTAAGTTATCGTGATAGATAATTCGGTATCCGAAATTCCGAATGTTATATAGCAATATAGTGTGATGTTGTATTGATTACTTTTAGATTTTTAAATTTCGAATTGCAACGTGTCGGATTATTGAGAACAAAAATTTTATACTTTATATTAATTTTGACCGTTTAATTTCCATGAATGCGTTACATTTCTATGGAGTATCATTTATAAACATTTATTTTTTGCCAATATGACAGTTTTAACCCCGAATTTCTTGCTTTGATATAATTATCTATTATACGCTTTGTAATCTGTCGTGCACATTTTATCAACTTTATAAAAGTAACAATATATATGAAAAAAAATTCTTTTATAATTTTGCGATAAATTTATTCCCTTTTTATTTTTAAGTATTTATCTAGTAATTAAAGACATCTCCTAAGTTAACGAGAGATATATAGAGTGAGAAATAATTATACGATTGGTGATAGTTTTTTAGTAATACAATATGGATGCTATTAGTATGACCATACATAACCATTTAGGTTGTATTTCTCTGGACAACTCATAATAAAGACTGTACGGTGGATGTTCAATACCTGCGAGAAGTACCTTTCCTATAGTTATACCAATTGCTATATCTGTCTAGTATGTGATCGTACTTGCTGAAACTGAACCGTGATTGTTATACTTTATATTTGCCCAAGTCTCAATCACCGCAGAGTAATCCTGTTCTGATTTCGAAACTTTGGTCTTAAGCTCAGTAATCATATGCTGACTCTAGACGAGAGTTCAGTAATCTTAGCTTCGCGCCCGGAGATTTCTTCTATAATTTGTTTCAACTTCGCGTTCAGTCTCAAGCTCGGTAATGAGTTGCTTCAATAATTCAAGTTCTGATGAAATTATTGATAATATTTTTTTGAATATTATTCAAATTGTCAATAAATTTGTGGGACCGATGGTATGCAAGAAAAATTTTTATCAATACAGTAATAGAACGACGCACCACGCAAAAATAAATACAAATGACTTGTCACAGCCCGTGATACATAATTTTCTAATATACACGATTATTTTTTTGATTTTTTCTTCCGCGCGACGCTTTCTTAGATGCAAGTTATCTAATGGATAACTATCTTTTAACAAATCTACTATAACATTAAAATCCTCTTCACATGCATTCTCACGCAATTCGGTTGGATTATTGAGAGCGTCTTCAGTTAGTGAAATTCGATATTCAGTCTTACTCGCCGGTGTTTTGGAATTAATTTTTTAATGTTGCATTGTTATTATAAAACGCATTACAAAATTATAAACTTTTATAACAAAATGTAATATTTTAAACTTTATTTTAACCTATCTATTAAAATGATAAAAAATTTATCTATATAATAAATAATAAATATAGAAAACTAATTAAACTGATTCATCAAACTTATTTATTAATTCATCAACATCAAAATTTAAGTCTTCATGGACCATGGTTCATTATACTTACTTCATCTTCTTTTTCATCCTTATTATTATTATTTAATAAACTTATTGATAAATCAATAAAATTTGTAATTTCTAGTTCTTGATTATTTATTCCTTCTAAATCTACAATTTCTTCGATCACATTAATATTTCAAAATTAACTTCAAGGTCATTATCATCAAATAAGTCAATTCCATTATTTAATGATGATGCAAGTATTTGAAACTAAGCCAAATTATCAGTATTAAGCCAAATTTTATTAAACAAAAAAGCTTTTAATTGAAGTAAAAAATCATATTAGGATTAATTTAGAATTAGCTATAAATTAGAACTTTAATTAACATCAATATCTGCTATCAATTATAAATTGCAATAACTATAAATCAGAAAAATACTGATTTGTAATGATTAGTAACTGATATTATATTAATCAGAATTTTTATTTTTAGCTGATTTATTCTACTTTGATTAATTAAGAATTAAATATTTAACAGAAAGTGGCTTGGTACTTAATAAAAAAAGGCTTAAAATTTAATAAAAATGACTTAATATTTAACATAAAATGTTAGCATTTAACAAAAGAGGCTTAGTGTTTAACAAAAAAGGCTTCGTATTTAACAAAAAATGTTAGCATTTAACAAAAGTGGCTTAGTGTTTAACAAAAATGAAAGCTTAGGATTTAACAAAATGGCTTTGTATTTAACAAAAAAATGCTTAGTATTTAATTAAAATGGCTTGGCATTCAATAAAAAAGGACTTAGTTTTCTAATTTAAATTTAAATTATTAGCATATACACTATAAGATATGATATCTTTTGATTAATTACAGATTATACGATAATAATATTAATAATATGAATGCTTAATAGGATAATACTTTACAAAACAAAAAAATTATAAAGAATTAAAAAATAAATCTTTTAAGAGTATTATATTGAAAAAATTTTATGTTAAAAAAAAGGTTTTTGCTATTTATTCGCCGGAGTCACGTGATTTTTAATTTTTGGCAATTATAGGATAAATATTATCCTCCAGCTTCACATAAAATAAATAAATATTATTATATATTAAATGGGATTTGGGATGGGATGGGTTGGGACTCCCAAGTCCCATCCCATTTATTTGGGCGGCAAGTATAGACCCGGGTACTGTATGCAGTGGCAATCAGTAATTATCATATTATATATTTTGATTATACGGTACATAATGTTATTTCTTCCATGGCCTTTATGATCAATTATAAAATGGGCTCTTTTTAATTGCGAAAATTTAATTCAACAATATTATTACAATTAAGGAATTAGTTTAAATAATTTTTCTATAATTAAGGAACAATAAAAAAAATGTGGCAATTTAGTCAACCATTTTAATATTGAAAATGTACAGTACAAGTAATTAAAAAATCCGGTAAGTTAATCATAAAAATCAAGTTATGTGGCTGAATGTTTCATATGAAAATATTTCATGCAAGCTTACCAATTTAGGTGATATGAATATCATCTGACCCAGATCGTCATAGTCCTTAGTCTATACTCTTTTTTACACCTTCATGCTTTATACTTTGTAAGATTTGTAGGAAAATGTAAACCGTTATTAAGTCCGCACGAAGTAGTAGTTAAATTACAAAATCTGTTATCTAAGGAAAATAGGTTCAGTTTCTGAGATGAGCAGAATTAATTGGGAATTATCAGACGTCCGGACATGACGTCATCAAACGTAGTCCTTCGTTATACTTCTGACTAATGAACTTTGTATGAACGGCGAATTAACAATTAATAAAATACGAAACAATTTTTAAAACGGTCATAAAGGATTAAACTTTAAAAATGTTATACTAAGTTACTAAACAGATTTGTTTTTTGGATTTCTTTTCTTGTATTAAATGGCAATATTTTGTCATTGGTTTTTATTCTAGATTATTATTTATACTTTTGTTTTCATATCTACTAGTAATTTATTGTTATAAACTTTTGGGATAAATGGTCTACTTTTTGTTTTTGTTGTATTTGTTCTCGAAATTGGGGAGATTGACAAGGTGCATATATTATTATGTTATTGTTAGTATTGTTGGTTATTGTTGTTTATATAATCTAATCTAACCGAAAATATGTATCAATCCCTGTTTCACGTGATTTATAATTGGTACAAAAAAAAAATATATAAATACATAAAATTCCGCCTTCTAACCTTAAAATATCAACTAATAAAAATATTTTATAAAAAAAAAAAAATGGAAAATACGGAAGAAATTTCATACAGTATTATAACATTTTGGGCGTATAGTGAGGAAGAAATTAATTCAATAGAGGGGGAATGTCGGTAAGTTATATTTACTTTTTTTGTAACTATACCCTTTTATTTATTTATAAATTTTTTTGATAGAAAACTTGAGGATGCTCATGGTGTGAAAGTCGAATACATAAGGGAAAAGAAGGTTTGCATTTATGTAATTTATGTATTAGCATATTTATTACTTTCGGAATATACAATATTACATATACATGGCTTATATACTGTATATATAATAATATATATATATTTTTTTTAAACTGACAGTTATTCGATATAAAAGGCACCGACTATGATGAATTAAATAAAACGTAAGTTGTAATATATTTTTAATTTTAAATAAATAGTTAATATTAATTAATAATTATTTACTGTAATAGGCGTGATCATATATTCGAACTTCTCAAGTCAAAGGTATGTAAAAAAAATTATAATTACGTTTTATACTTTTAAATTTAGTCTTAACAATACATCCTTGGTATGTATTTTATATTCATAGTCTGAAAAGCAAAGCTATGCCGTGCCTCGTTATAAGAAAAAAGAACCCAAATTTGAAAAATCAGCTCCTGGTAAACCTCCACCTATGAAGGAAACTGTTCCTCTTATGATTGAAAAAAAGGAAGAAGAAATTCCTGTAGGTTTAGTAGGATTATACAGATTTAATCCTCAAATAAGAATACCTGCCGAGTTAGATGGTTTATTTGGAACGAATCAATGGAGACCATTTACCCATGTCGATTATTGGAGAGATATTTGTAAAAGTTGTAATGTTAATGGTGAAATCTCATATGATGACAGAGTAATTATATACTGTATTTATTAAGTGTGTATATTAATTTTTACGTTTCCATAACATTAATTTTATTTGAAATTTCTTTATAGAGGATAGAATTCATCCAAGGTAAACGTAAAGATGTTGAAAAGGCGAAACGTAAATTAAGACAAATAGAAAATAATTATGTATGAAAATTTTTAAGTTAACATTGTAATAATTGACTTAAAAATGTTGATCCATTATTTAACTTTTTATTTACCTTTAAAATCAGCTTCGAGAAACTTTTAACCATAAACGCGTTCCACTAGTACATTTTTCAAACGTACATGCACATTTCAAAGTCGGTTTCCGTCTCCCTAACAATCATCCATATTTTAAAGATGCAGCAATGGATTATTTTAATGATGTTTGTATACTTTCGCACCATATAAATGAACCTAATTCGAAAAGTTTGGAAAATTCTGAAAGGTTGGCTCTCGATAAAAAGTATGTTACATTTTATTTTATTAATTGTTGTTAAATTATTCATTATTACTTACTTTATATTATTATTAAAGGATTAAGGGTTATAATCTCGCTAGGATGAGCGATGTGCTGACAAAAGGGTATTTAATATCAATTTAATAATACATTATATTCTAATACCATTTGATATTAATCCATCATATTTTACATATTAAGACTAGAGTATGTGCGCGTACATCAAGGAGAAGTACGTTTTTATGGAAGGTAAATAAATTTTAAAGGATATTATTTCAAAAAATATGGTTAACCTCAATTAATTATTTAATTAGCTTGGGGAAATCGATGTTCAGTAAAACTGATGAAGTTAAAGGAAAACTTTGGAATTTTAATGATTTGGAAAGTATAATTTCAAAATATGATATCAAATCAAGATTTGATGAAGAGTGAGTTCTTCAATTTATTTTTTTATATATTTTTTTTTAAAAAAAAAAAAATTCGAAATTTATTAAATAAAACGTTTATAAAATATTTCGTAGTGTGACACACGATAACTCGACCTATAAGAGATTCGATAGTTTTTTTAGTCCGGATAAAAAAAAGGATTATACAGAGTATTTTGAAATAAAAGCGGATGCAAGAAATTCGCCAAATGATGAATTTAGTGAAGTTTACATGCGTGTTAATAGAGCCAACGCTTCTTTAGTTAAAGTTGGATCAGAATGGGAACCTCTTGTAAACATAGATTGGACAATGTTAAATTTGTAAGATTTAATTTTTTTTATCGTTTTTAAATAATGATTATCTTTTAAAATTTTTGAATTTTTTTATTCAGAAAATCTGATATTGCGATAAATTTAGCCACAAGACGTGCTATTCGTCATGATGTAGAACCATTTACTACATTTAGCAAAAGGATATCAGTTAACCCAAATGAAGTTTCAACGATCGCATATGAAAATGTTGATAAGAAGATCAAAAGTAAAAGAGGAACAGCATTTGACACACTCGTTAGATATCTTGAAGTCAAGTCTATTGATTTCAAAAAATCTACGACAAAGAAAGTTAGCGAAACTTTTACTTATCAATTAACTCGCGTTGAGAGACTAAAGGTTAGCGAAAAACCTAAAACTAATAAAGGATTAGGCGAGGCCACCGGAGATGATAGAGATGTTTATTATACCATCGAGGTGAGATATTTATTTATGATTATTAATTATTTATAAAATAATAATTATAATTAAAAAAATCGAAAATATAGGTATTTAGTGAAAAACACAATGAAGCCTTTGAACAAAATATAACTCTCGAAAGTGGCGATGTCGTTAATTGGACGGTTGATACTATACTTGGAAAAGAACCAACTTATAGTACTCTTTGTGAATTTGTAAGAACATTATTATCAGCTATACAGACAGAACTTTAGAACAATTTATAGTAATAATTGAAATAGACATTTTTTATTTAAATAGTATGATTCATAAATACGTATATATATATTTATTTATTATAAATTTACAAATAAATAACCATGAAGGTCAAATTTTAATATTTCTTTTCGAGTATAAAGTTGTAAGTTTATTTACAATATCAATCACTGCGCATTTTCAATTTTAACCGATTTTAAGCCGGCATTACGAATTTGGCCAGAATTAAGGAAATTTTGGCCGGAATTATAATTCAAAGATTAAGCTGCACCTCAATTTATAATATATCGATCATAAAAATTTGGGTGTTACAACATGGTTGATTTAATATGTATAATTCTTGCATCGACTAATATTATTAGAATAGTACGGTGGTATTTATATTGGTTAACGTCACGAATAATCAAAATTCTTCACTTGATCTTTATAATAATTACCAGTGAAATCATTCCTATTCTTTAAAACCAAATTCTTGGCTCTTATCCTTTTGAAAATAAAATGGTCCTTTATTTTTGACAAATCAAATTCTGAATAAAATTATCTTGAAGATTGTTTTTAATAATAACAAAAAAGTATTTGAGAAATAATTTGTATTAATCACTATTAGAGAATAATTTAAATAATCAGAAAAAAATATTAGGTAAATAAAAGATAGGGATGGAGTTTACTAATTTATGAGCGAGTTAGAGTTTAAAATGTTTCCGAAATTCATACTCCAGTAGATAGCACTTTATTAGTTTATTATATTTTGTGGAAACTCGATCATAATATAGTTCAATCAAAAGATTATGAGAAATAATTAGATAGATAATTAGATGTATTTTATTTGTACCATACCATTTTTTTAAAAATAGATTTGTCAAATAGACTTTTTTATAAAAAGCATTACAGCATTTGATTCTTTACAATAGAAATAATAAAACAAGCTGATAAAAATTATTTTAAATAGTTATTCTTTTAATAATTGTTTTATATGTAACGTGTATAAAGAAATTAAAATTATTACAATTATGAATCATTTTTAATCGAATAAAAATTATGAATAATAACTAAGTTAATATAAGAAAAACTAGTTAAAGTGTGTGGACAGTGTGGTTTTTCAAGACCAAAAAATTATTATCATTCTTCTCTTCTTTATGTCAGATTTGGTATTAAAAGAATTTTTCAATGAAATACTTTGGTAAAACGGTAAGCACTAATTTGCTTTCAGGATTTTTTTTTTTAATTTTTCTATTTTTTTTTTCTCGACTTTTAGGATCAGCTGTGAGACGCGGTACTATGGTAAGCACCAATTTCAATTTTTTTTTTCATTTTGAAATAATATTTTTTCTAAATTTTTTCATCCTTTAGGATCGAGAACTTGCAGTTCAGACTTCAGATTGCTGCAAGCGCTGATTCTCCCATTTTGAATTTTTTATTTCTGTTATTTTTATTTTTTTTTTGCTAATATTGATATTTTTTTATTATTTTTTGAAACTTTATTTATGTTGTACTAGCCATATCATTGTTGCGCCTTCATGATTATACGACAGAATTTATTTTTTCGTCCTTTCAGATTGGGAACTCATGGCACGCTTACCGCTGCGGTACTATGGTAAGCACCAATTTCAATTTTTTTTCGTTTTGAAATAATATTTTTTTTTCTATTTGATTTTTTTTACTAATTTTTTTCTTTCGCCTTTTAAGATTGAGAACTCACGGTCGGGAGATGCTCTTACCACTACGATATTACGGTAAGCACCAATTTTCAATTTTTTTAATAATTTTTTTCTATTTAATTCTTACTAATTTTTTTTTAAAAAAATTTTACTCTTACTGCTGCGGTATTGCGGTGAGCGCCAATTCACCCGTTTGAATTTTATTTTTAAAAAAAAAAAAATTTTTTATCCTTTCAATCGGGAACTCAAGGATCAGGAAATGCGTTTCAGTACTACAGCAAGCATTAATTTTCTTTTTTCGTTTCAAAATATATTTTTTTCCATTTATTCGATTTTCACGTTACGAATTTTTTTTTATTTAATTTAATTAATACTTTTTTTCATTATTTTTTTTTAACAATAAATGTATATAAAATACTGAGCGTAAACCTGAACATAATTAATTAAAGGTTCTTCCATTTCCAAAGTATAATTCAATTATTTTGCGTATTTCACTTCTAAATTACAATTTTTAAGAGAATTTAAAGCTTTTCGTTAAATCTTTATTAAACAATTAATAATTTCCTTCTTTTAGTATCATTGAGTTTCCTCAAACTTTGAATATTTCTTTTTTGATTTTTACAATCAATAAACGTTTTACGTGATATTCAATACAAAATGGCGCAAAAAAATCTAAAAACATGTAAAATAAAATGATGCTTGCTCTTGGCCAGATGTATGGTAAATTAACCTACAGCTGTTTCTCCTGAACACCACGTAGAGGTGACAAGCTTCGTTCAGGTAAAAAAAAAACCACTTACTTTAAAACTTTACAACCAGTTTATAATTAATAGGGTTAAAAAAAAAAAATAGTATTTGGGTTGTTAAAAGAACAAAAATTGAGCAGAGAAGTTCGGACATATAGAATTAAAGATATATAACAACACAACTTGATCGATTTCTATACATAAACTGTGTTTTTTAGTTATGTTCTGGCCCCAGGTACTACTACTTATGCGCAAGTGCATCAAAATAACAAGAAAGATAAGAAAGTAATTAACGTAAAATCAAAAAAAAAATTATGCACAAGCGCATCAGAACAAGAAAGAAATTATTTTTGTAAAATCAAAATAAGCTTTCTCATCCCCCCATCTAATTATTTGGTTTACATATATACACAATACGTACTATGTACATACATACATATAATACGTACGTATATATACGTAATGTGGGAAAGACGACCGAGCAATAAACACAGGTTTCTCTACTCAATTTTCATTAAAAATTTGTTTAAGTACGGTTTTTAACTTTAACGGTTTTTATAATTTTTCAACGTGGAGTTGGCCGGTTCTAAAATGTGATGTGGAGTTGGTTGTACCTTACCTTTACCATACTTAGCAAAAAAAAATAAAGAAAAAGAAGAGCGAGAAGTAGTAAGAAAGGAAAGAGGGGTTAAAGAGAATAAAGAGAAACAGTGGCTATTTTATGTACTGTATTTTACTTAAATCGGGATTAGTAATGATTGATTGATTATAATAAGATATTCTTACGTCATTATACACATGAAGTCATATTTTAATATCAGTATTTTCTATTTACATACATACATTACAAATAGTTTTCTATGAAAAATGGTTTGTCATGACTTTGTTTAGAAAAGTATTGTGTGAAATAATTTAACGTAAATTAATATTTTACATTTAAAGATATAACGATTATCTTTAAAGAACCTTTACATACTAAGGATGACATAGCATTTCTTCATTTCAAATATTATTTGTAGTTAAATTGTTTGATAACTTTGATGATTAATAAATTACTACGCCATCTTGCCATTTGGTTATTTTACTTTTCACGTGATAACTTGTTGCTAAAGTGTATTGTGTATTATCAAATATTACCGTCAGGATTTCTTAGTAAATCTGATCAAATCATCAAATCGCTTAAAAGTATTTAAAACTTCTCGCTTCCTAACAGAAAAATCTTTGATTTCACTAATTGATGATTTATAAATGAAAGAAATAAAGTTTGGAAACATATATTAAAATGAGATCTTTAAGAAATAGTACATTGATCTGACAAAAACACAGCAATAGGTTATTGCTTCACACCACCAACTTCAGTTCTTTCCTAGACATCATTAAAATAGACGTGAGGTAGTATCCCATGAAAATCTGCAAGTTTTGAATCAGATTTTATCAAATTCGTCCAGATCATCAATTTTTGGAAATAATTTACATTTTTTTTGAAAAAAAAAGTAATAAGAGTTAGTGTCACTAAGTGAGCATAATGTAGAAGCTTCACTGCAGTTACAGCGGCACCTAGTCTCATGATTCATTTTCTTTGTAGTGTACCGCCAGCTTTTCCAGATGACCTTCTTTCTCTTGATGGTAACCGTTGTAAGACTATTTACCATAAATATTGTCCATTGTTGAATTTTGTTTTTAGGGCGGTGCACATATATATATATCTCAAGACATCATAGAATTCAAAAATAATCAATGAGCTGTCATTACCTGCGATATAATATTTTCCCATTTTGTATTTCAACCTCAAGCTTATAAAACGGTCTCTTCCACAATTGTGTATTATTCCACTCATTTAGATACCTACCTAACAAATTGGCCTTATAAACAACACTGAACTCTCCTTGTATATTTCTCAAATTATTATAAAAAATCCATTCTATATATATACCTTTTCTGTAATTTCTTGCTTTTAATTAAGCATCTTGTATAAATTTATCTATGATATAATTGAAATCTTGTTTAAAATGTTTAGAAATGAAGTTTTTGGTTGATTACAATAGAACATAATCCACGAACATAATATTTAACAAAAATTACTTTTTTTTTAATTGCGTTATAAATTCCCACTAACTGTATTTGATGAATTACTATTTAAAGCTTAACTTTCAAAATTATTTAAAAAGTTATTTGATTACTTATAAATATTTTTAATAATCAAATTGATCAAATAAAAAACACATCGAATTTAAAAATGAATATTATTTAAAACAAATTTTTATTTTTATGGTACAAAAAGCGGAATAAAAAAAAGTATTCTCTTATAATTATATGAGAGATTTTAAGAATCATAATTAACCAAACAATAAAATAATGGAAAAAGTGATTAAACTTTATTTTATTTTGAAAGAATGGTAAATTTAGTTTCTTTACAGGGAAATGAATGTATTTTTTTTGTTATACATGATATACATGAAAAAAACAGGTTAGTGTATTTGTAATTAAGATTACTAATCATGGTTATATAATGATTATTAATGAAGTCATTTTAACTATACTGAATAACAATAATTATAAAACTAGTGTTCTACACTATAATTGAAACATAAGATCATTTCATATGAAAGAATCACTGTGGTCAAATTTGGCACTAACTGACTGATAATTACAATTATTTACACTATCATTTTATACAAATACATATATATTCTCCTAAATTTTTTATCTTAAATTCTTTATCTTTGACTCTTTATTAAATTCAAAATAATGTTGCATATTGCTGAAGATTGTCTTCAAATTATTATTAATGAATTACAATATGATTTATCATCTTTATATTCATGCATTTTGGTGAATAGATACTGGTGTCGTATAGCTATACCAATATTATGGAAAAATCCATCTTCTCTAAAAGGATTTTCACCTTCTAAACTTTATAATATGATAATTTTCTTACTACCAAAATCTTCAAAGAAATTTCTATCTGATAATATCCCTGAATTTTCTTTAACTGAAATTCCTTATGATAAACCATTGTTTAACTATATTAGCTTTTTCACTCAAATTTCACCAGATTTAATTAGTAGTATATCACAGTCATTAGTTAATAGTAAAGGATATAATGATGAAAAATGGATTGCAGAAAAATATGAGAAGTATGTATTGGAACAAGAATTTTATGAGTTATTTATAAATAATTGTAAAGGTTTAAAACTTTTTTATTGGAATACATCACATCCTTTATTTAAATATCAAGGGGCAACTACTTGCTTTTCTCAATTATGTACATTAATAATTAATCTTATGTTTCTGACAATAGCAAATTTATTTGATATGACACAAATTTGTCAAAATATTAAACACTTGGAAGTAATTGAATGTAAAGGAAATATCATAGTAGGATTAGTTAATTTCATTGAAATTCAAAGAAATTTACAATCATTATCCATAGATTTTTTTCATGAAGAAAGATCGGATATCTTTGAATTTATTCCATTGAGTAGTATAATTATGAAGAAAGCTTCTACATTAAAAAAATTCATTATAAGACCATTTATTGGATTATTATCACCCAAAATTCTTACATCATTGATAAATTTACAACATTTAGAACTTATTAATGATATGGATTTTAATATGTTATTTGAAGGTTACACGGTGGAAGCTTGGGATGAATATTTATCAATTACTTCATTTCCAAATCTTGAATATCTAAAAATACATGATTATTATTTACCATCCTTTATTAAAGATTATATGTTGATTGAAAAATCTAATGGAAATATTTTAGAGATTAATATACTTAAAATGAAAGTTCATGATCCTATTTATACTAAAAAATTAATTATAACAATTTCTAAATGTTGTCCAAAGATTAAAAGGTTTACAATTATTAATATTGAACCTGAAAATTTTGAAGATTTAAAAGAAATCTTTTTAAATTGTACACAATTAGAAATGTTGGCTTTATTGGATAGTAAAGAACATAATGGTGACAAATTATTAGAAATTATATCAGATTATTCACCAGAAACTTTGTGTGAATATTCATTTAATTTAATATTTACAATTGAAGGCTTAGAAATTTTTTTTGAAAATTGGAAAAAAAGAAAATCACCACTCATTTTAAATATTATCAAACTCCGCTATAATGGAAGTTTTACAGAACATGATAAGATTATAAAAAAATATTTTGATGAGGGTGTAATTAAAGAATATAATTATCATGATTTTCGTTCTTTTTAGCAATATTTCTTAATTATTTTTATTCTTTTGATATTTTATACTAATATAATACTAGTGTAAAATATTTGTAAAAAAACAATATATTTGATAAGTGAAAAAAAAGATGGGTGATGTCATCACTCCTCGACATAAAAAGTACAATTAAACCATAATAGATTAAAAAAATTAGGTTAGAAAATTAGATTAGTTATCATAGGTTTACCAATTTTATATTAAAATTTTATATTAGTAAATCCATAGCCATTCATTCTTATCGTATATTTGTTTTTCAGTTTTTCACATTAATCTAAATATGATACTGCATCAAATTTCGCGAATATGACAAAACAACTGACTGTGCCAATTAGTTACTTCTGTTCCTTAATAAAAAAAAATTATTTAATAAATGAAACTTTTTTATGTAATAAACAAAACACATTTTTTTTAATATAAAATTGCATTTGATATTTTTTTTTTAAATAAAAACCCAAAATCAGTTTTTATTATTTTTTATGATTTGATAAAAAAAACTAAAATCAGTTGTTTTTATTAAAGAGAAAACGTAATTTATTCTTCTTTTATTAAAATAAAACGAGTGTTTTGTTACTATAATATAGGAAATGTTTTTTTTATTCTTTTTTTTTAATATCGTGCGTTGAATGATCACATGAACGAATCAGCTGATCAATAATAGGCCAATCATGCTTCGATTCTAAAGTAAATCTGAAGTTAAATTTACTATTCCAATTTTGAATTCATTGAAAAAAATAAAGACAAGTTACATCGAATATTTAAAAACGGAAATAAATCATTAAAAATGAAAATCATTCAAATGAAAATAATTCACAAAATAAACCTCAAGAAGATATACTGTACATCCAAATCCATCAATGTCAAATACTACTTATGTAAATAATTATGCAATATCAGAAGCAACTTTTCCCGGGTATCAGAAAGAAGAATTTGACCTATTACAATATTAAAAAATATAGAGTAATTTTATAATAACAATTTAGGTCAAATTTCCAGATTTAAATGAACCCAAGAATCCCTTACAAAAGTAGCAGTGCATTACCGGTTAACAAACATATGTACTATCTATCATCTGCAGTTCATAATAAGAAACTACGATTACTTTATTTTATAGACAGTTTATTTTATCATTTTCATTGTAATTCTCTTTGAAATGTTAAAATATATATTAAATATTATAGTTTATTAGAAAAAATTATTAGACAGAGATATTTTTAATTATTAATTGAACAACAAAATATTTTTTTTACCCGTTGCATGCAATAAATATATTAATTACATTGCATAATCTTTTAAATTAAAAAGTAAGTTGCGGATTTCATTTGTTATTTTCAGTTATTATATATGAAAATATTATGTAAAAAAAGCTTTTAAATAAATATGTTTTTAACAATCCTTTTTATTTAAAAAAAAATGAACATCACATCGATATTTGTAGATTTCATTATATTCTTTCAATATTTCCCATTTTTTAATTTTTCATACCCAAATTATTGTTCCAAATTTAGAAACTGGTATCACCTTTATTCTTATTTCGGAAACTGGTGCAATTGTCAATTTATACTATAAAAGAAATTTTGGTATAATGGCATAATAGGATTTTATGAAAGATCCTGCTGAAAAATTGGTTTTTTGTATAGCCAATCTTAATTCAAATAAAAAACGAATGAAACAATTTGATTGTAAAGAGCCAATTAATTATACATATTAATCAAAAATTACTTTATCATGTTCATCTTCAAAACATGTAAGAAAAATGATGAATAATATTGATAATACATAAAAGAAACGAGTTAGGTCACACACAATGCTTTTGTGATAATTGTAAAAAGAAATGTTTTAATATATATAAAAGGTAAAACTCATCAAAAAGGTTTGCAATTAACAAAAGATTTTTTGTGAAATAATAATGAAATGTAAAAAAAAAAATATTATAATAAGGCTTGAAATTCATAATAAAAAACATCAGTGGATACAATAAGCTTGTATTTTTTAATAATTTTATTCTAGATTCTCAATAAAGGATATCAACTTTATAATTGAAAAGACGTCATTGACAATAAAATTCATACGACTACTACAATTACCGCCTTATCCTACTATCACATACATTAATATTTAATGGTGTAATATTTGATGGTATCAAATATTAAACTATCTGTTAATATTTAAACCATTATTTATATCCAAAGATCCTTTCTTGATTCTAAATTTGTTTCATAATTTTCTGATGAAAAAGAATTTTTTTTTGTCTTCATTAAGTTATTATAAATGGTAATTTCAGAAGAAATGATTGCTTTAAGTGTCACAACAACTTCTTGCATATTTAGACGTTCATTCGGTTCATAATTCCAACATGCTAATCAATTAGTAAATAAAATTAATATCAATAATAATGCTCATAAAAAAATATTAATAAGGTTATTAATGTTACCTGTATATATTTTACCATATTTAACAGGAGTTCCATCAACAATTTTTTCTCTTTTACCATTTAATATAAATAACATTAAACTTGGACCATAATTAATTTCAACAAAAAGGTCTGCATCCACTTGAAATTTGCCAAAATAAAACTTCAATGCTGTATACATCAGATTTTTTATTTAATTTATAATTTTCTTTGTCATCGAAACTTTTGGGTCCATATCGATATAGGGTAATACACCAAGTGCTTTTGATATGTCACTTGATGCTTCGACAATTTTATTTTGATAAACAAAAATCTGCTAATTTAATATTTTTCTGATGTATATATAAGTATATGTATATTATTTCCATGCTTCAATTATTATGCTGTATTTTTTTTTAAAATAAATGATATTAGAATGAATAAAATATATAAAAAATATATAGTATTACCAGGTCACAATGAATAATATCATTATCTGCAAAAATTCTACAGAGCTGGCCAATTGCAATGCTAAGTGGGATCTATCATTCCAGTTCGAAACATTAAAATGGTTGCTTAAATAAGTAAGCATTTAACGTACCACTACTATCAGCGTATTCTAAGACTAAAGAATATTTTTAAATTTCGCCTAATTAAATCAATTTTATCTTAAAATAATTACTTATTATTAAGATAAATTGATTATTATGTTAAATATGTTTTCAATACTTACTGATATATTCTATCTTTGTGATTTCACAAAATCGTATGATATTTTCATGAATATTTCAGTGTAACTTTAACTGTGTTGTATACTTGTATTGTATTAATTAAATTTCTCCGATTGAGTGACAGATATGTCCCTTAATTAAAAAAAATTATAGTTATTAATTAAAATATGAAGATGTGGTCTGAACCGTCCCAGACCAAATTTTTAATTAAAGTTGCAATTTTATGCGATATTATTTATGATTCTAAAAAATATTAAACAACGTTGAAAATTGCAGTCCATATTTAGAGATAATTCTGGCTCAAATTAACTAAAATCTGATCTACATAATATAAACTGAAATGTTTTTTAAAGTATCACCTGAAGTGATCGACAGTTACTGTACCTCCATGCACATAGTGCCTCGACCCGTATCCGGATCAATCCGGATTGATCCGGATTTTTTTTTTTTTCGGATATTGCTCACTTAATGCCTCACGATCATCCTCTTGAAATATTCAAAACTCTAACTTCCTCATATACGGTTCCATTACCAACTGTTAGAAGAAGTTCCATCTCGTCAGTTTCTTCAACACTTTCAAATATTTCTACTCATGCGACAATAAAAAATCTGGGACTACATGATGATAAAAATAGTGTCACTTTCTATTTGAATAAAAAAACAAAGAGAAATAGTCGATCTAGCGAAAAGAAATTGCGTATCCGTGTTTTAATATACGCAGATGATTTACCCACTAATTTGCGCTCCAAAGGACCAACAATTCCAAGAACTTCTATGTCTGTGCCAAAACATCTTGCTGAAAAAGCTGCTCGGAGACGTTCAAGAGAAGAAGCAAAACCCAAAGAGAAAACTATGGTCGTGCCAGGGATTGCTACTGTTAGTAATGTTATAGAAAAAGCAATGGAAAAGTTCGGAATTCTTGATGGTATTGTTGATGATGGTGAACGAATATTAGATGATGATGAAGGAAACCCTCGTTATAGGCTTATGGTTATCGTTGATGGTGAAGGTAATTAAATATTTAATTAAATTGGTTTTGTTTTATTTAAATGATATGGATATTAATTTAATTTATTTTCCTATTAAAACATTCTATCAGAAAAATTATTGGATCCCGGAATAAATTTAGTTTCAGTATATCCTTCACCACCAAATCTTTACCATTTATCAATTGAATCTTTTGATTCAAGTTCATCGCTAACATTGGATTATCGTCCTGATGAACCTATATTTGTTTTACGACTTTTACGACCTGAAGATCGGCAACAACGCTCTATGCCATCAGCTTCTGAAATAAATCGTATCACACGAGAAATGAAACTAAATTCTCCAACAACACAGGGTTCGAATTCTAACAAAGAAAATAATGAATTCCTATCCAAGAAACAATTAATAGAGCAACAGCGTAAATATAGTCGAGCTAAACAAAAATCGATCATTTCTGCACGAAAAAATGCAGAAGGAGTGGACATTCTCACAAGAATTGGATCTATTAGAAGTTCTAGAATATTCGGATCAAAAATACGATATTCTTTTATTCCAGCTGAAGGTGGAGAGATTGATATTAGTGATATTATTGAAGATATTTGGGGTGATGATGAAGTACTAGGTGTGATAGCTGATGAATCAGAATCTACCAAGGAACCATCACCAAGTTCATCTACAGAAGATTCTAATGAAAATGGACTTTCTCCTGGTACACCTTCATTCATTAATAAAAAGGAACAATATAGAAGAAGCACACAAAACGTGGATATTTTAGAAAAGATGGTTAATGATAATAATTCTGAGTCAATGGAAGATAGAATAGAACGTGTATTAAATAAGGTTAGGAAAGGTTATTATGGTACTGGTGCAATTAAAAACCGTCAAAATCAAACAAATAAGCATAAAAACGTAACAAATTCTAACGAATTTACTTCCAAGGATAAAAATGAACTTCAATCAGTTAGGAACAATGAATCAAAAAGTGAATCTGTAGATTTAGTATCTGAATCTACTGAACAAATTAGTGATCTACCATCAAGAACAATAGTAACTAAAACAAAGAAAAGATCACCTTCTGCAGCATCAGCTAGTTCAGTGAATTCCATAAATACGACGGAATCTTCTACACCAACACGAAAAAGAAGACCGTCTTCTATATCATCATCATCAACAGAAAATGATTGGATATTAACAGATGATTTTGGTTTACAAGAACTATTAGTTTTAGTAAGATCAGGTGTTAATATGTTAGAATTAAAAGAAAGACGTAGGAGCGGGTGGCACTTGAACGATGATCCAGAAAAGATTTTAGAACAAATTAAACCCACAGAAATTTTAGATGAAATTAAAGCTGTATTTTCAAATGTTAATGAAGAACTCGATAAATTAGAACAGGTAAATTTTATAAAGAAATCACTTTATTTAAAATTTTATTATTGTATTAATAATTTATTTTTCTTTTTTCTAGGAACTGGATCAAATAATGGATGATGCTGTTAGAGCTTTTTAATAATTTAAAAAACGGCTAGCGGGCTAGTTTTTTTATATTAATTGTTTTAACTTACAGTAGATTATTTATTTAAATGTTAGTTCTTATAACAATTTATTTAACCACTACTTAAACGTGTATTTTACCTAGTTTAGAAATTGTAATGAAATATAATGAGAGATGTACAGTATAAAAAAAATTTCCATGTATTGAATATTTCATATTAAATTGTAGACATTATTTAAATAATTAATAAAAAAATAATAAATATAATTATTTATTATCAAAAATTGTTACATTTTCATGGTTGAGAATCAGAAAATAATGTAAAAGCCAATATATATCAATTTATTTGATCCTTTATAAAATAAATCGATTAGCGATCACGCGTAACTTCGGTTGATTCAAATTACAAGTCAAATAATGAAGAACGATATAACGATTGGTTCAAATATTTTGAACAATTATAAGGAAAGAAAGTTGACACGTAATTACATGAATAATTAAATAATGAATGGTAATGAGAATTATCTTCCTGTTAAAAATACTTAATTATAAAAAAATTATATAAATTTTTTTTAATAATATTTATTAAAATATCAAAATATCAAAATATGTAAAAAAATTTATTATTACTGTGAGCTTATCTAAAGATGATCTTATCAAATCAAAACTTTGGACCAAGAATATTCATTCATATTGTCGTATTATCAAAATTTGAGAGATTCATACAACTGATCCGATCTTATAATTTCTAGGAATTAAAAATTATAAATAAAATTATGGCAATTTAAAAGAAAAGAAAAATTACACTACCTTTTATGAGTCTAAATCTTTTGATCATAATCATATTCATAATCTCCAATTTATAGTAATAATTATCATTTTAAGAAATTAGCATAAGACAATTTTAACAAAAGAATTTTTACTAAATTAGAGGAATCAAAAAATTGTAATATAATTAATTCCTCTTTTTTTCTAGCAAAATGATTGAGTAATTACAGTGATAATGAACCAATAACAATAAACGATTATGATGTAAAGTAATGTGGAAGACCTTTTTTTTTTTTTCCTCTCATATTAACTTTTTCGTGATAGGATCAATTTTATGCGGAATCACGTGAAATACGTCATGTTTATTTTGGTCGTAACTCGTAAAATCATAGTTAAAAATTCTTTAATGTGGTACAGTTTTTTCATTCGTATTCCAATCGAGACTATTATAAATTACATCCAAACATTAATAATTATAATATTACAGCACACATCGTCAAACATCTAAAATGATGACTTATATCAATTAATAATTATATATTAGAAAATAACCTCAATTATTGAACAATAACAATAATTGTTGTAAACATTCGGAGTACAGCTCAATTACTTCCCAAACAAACAAACAAACAAATCGCTTTCTCTCATAATTGGTTCGGCTTCGCAATTATTATATATGTAAGCTTTATCGAAAAACTTATCAAATCTTCTGCGGTAATAATGTTGAGAAAAATTGGTATAACAGATACAGTAATTGAAAGTCCATTCATTAAAACAACAATTTGCCTAAATTAATAAAAATAAGTTTCTTTAAATAGTTTCACCAAATGTAATACGACCTTTGAAAAAGGACCTCTTATTATATAATTATGTTGTCGATCTTTTTCTTTCCCAATGTAATGAAACCCGTAAGTTACAAGTAACTTTTTTCGGATTGATAATTGTGGCCTGTGTGTATTAAATAAGGAAATTCATTACAGTATTAAGCACTTAATTAGTGATTATATAAAGTAATAAGTTCACTTTTGTGTTTTCATTAAAATTCTTAAAGTTATAATAAACTACCATAAATTAATTCTCTTTCTTAATATTAATTGACTTAAATAGGATAATTTCTCAGGGGATTTATTTTTTTTGTGAAATTCCGAACAATTCCGAAATTTTAAAACTGTATATAATAAATATTATGTACAAGTTAATTTAAATTTGAATGAATATCATTTCCAATTTAAGTTCTTCATTGTAAAAAAAATTTCAATAATAATACGTTCTCTCTCTTTTTTTTTTTTTTTTAAAAAAAAAANNNNTTTGGGAAAGTTTACCGTGCGAACTGGAAAAGTTCTCCTAATTATTTGGCATTAAAATCTTTTTTCAATTTTAACAACGTCACAATTAAAGAAATAGTTAAAGAGGTAATAATAAAATAATTATTACCTTATAATTTATATAACTTCTAATTTAAAATTCTGTTTAGCTTAAAATCCAACGGGAAGTGGATTTCCATGAGAATATTATTCGTTTCTGTGGTATTGCAACAGGTACAATATACTTTCTTTTCATGCATAATTTGATTGTAAAATATAAATTTATTGTTTTATTTATTTTTTTTTTTTTACAAAGAAAATCAGGTTGATAATTCAAAAAAATATTGGTTAGTAATGGAATATGCAAATGGAGGTACTCTTCGAGAATATTTGAAGGAACATTTTGATAATCTTACTTGGAATAATAAGTTTAATATGGCATTTCAGTTGGCTTGTGCTATATTATGCTTACACGATGAAGGAATTATTCACCGTGATTTGGTAATTCATTTGTTTACATTTTGTTATTTCATGTTTGTTGTTGAATTGTAATTAATAAATTTATTGTATTTAATAATATTAATAGCATTCCAAAAATGTATTAGTTCATCAAAATATAGTTAAATTAGCAGATTTTGGTTTATCAAAAAGAATTGAAGAATCATCCAACCTTTCTTCAACGAAATTATTTGGAGTAATTCCTTATATTGACCCAAAAAGTTTCAGTAATCAAGATTATAAATTAAATAAAAAAAGTGATATTTATAGTATTGGAATACTTTTATGGGAGATATCTAGTAGCAATCCTCCTTTTTATACTGAAGGTAAACCATATGACGTTTGTTTAGCAATTAATATATCACAAGGCCTTAGAGAGACACCCATTCCTGATACACCCGAAGATTATGTGAATATTTATACTGGTAAATATAATTAATAATTAATTTTATGTTTATATTAATGTTAAATTAATTCTATCTATTTTTTTTAGATTGTTGGAATAATGAACCAGATAATCGTCCAACTATCAATCAGGTGGTTTTTAAATTAAATGCAATTATTCTGAAGAATAATAATAACATGATTATAAAAGATTTTCGGGCAAATGATTCTTATACAAACCAATTATCCAGTAAACAACAACTCGATTTGAATGCTTTTGAAGATCCTATAAATAATTCATCACATGGGGAATTATCCAAATTTATTCAAGAATTTAACAAGATGAATACTAAAGAAATAGATTCTTCAATATCATCAAATAATAATTTTAAGGTGATGGTTGATGAAATTGTTGAACTTTCTGATAAGGCAGGCGTAGAATATGAAGAATTAGAAAGACTATGTATTTATAATTATCTTAATAATCATAATATGACTTCACAGGAAATTTATATTTGGTTATTAAATAATCAAAATCATTCAAATTCTATTGTTTTACTTGGAGATTTTAATTATTTAGGAATTGAAATTAATATTGATAAAAAAAAGGCATTTGAATTATATCAGATAGCTGCAAATTCAGGAAATATTATAGCACAATATAACCTTGGTTGCTGTTATATACATGGGAATGGTGTTTATAAAGATGATGATAAAGCTTTTGAATTATTTAAAAAATTAGCTGAAAGAGAATATTCAAATGGAATAAGTAATTTAGGTTATTGTTATAAAAAAGGAATTGGAACTGATATTGATAAAAAAAAGGCATTTGAATTATATCAAAAATCAGCAGATTTAGGAAATGCAACTGGAATAAGTAATTTAGGTGATTGTTATAAAAAAGGAATTGGAACTGATATTGATGAAAAAAAGGCATTTGAATTATATCAAAAATCAGCAGATTTAGGAAATGCAAGTGGAATGAATAATTTAGGTAATTGTTATAAAAAAGGAATTGGAACTTATATTGATGAAAAAAAGGCATTTGAATTATATCAAAAGTCAGCAGATTTAGGAAATGCAGGTGGAATAAATCATTTAGGTGGTTGTTATAAAAAAGGAATTGGAACTGATATTGATGAAAAAAAGGCATTTGAATTATATCAAAAGTCAGCAGATTTAAGAAATGCAGGTGGAATAAATCATTTAGGTGGTTGTTATAAAAAAGGAATTGGAACTGATATTGATGAAAAAAAGGCATTTGAATTATACCAAAAATCAGCAGATTTAGAAAATGCAGGTGGAATAAATAATTTAGGTAATTGTTATAAAAAAGGAATTGGAACTAATATTGATGTAAAAAAGGCATTTGAATTATATCAAAAATCAGCAGATTTAGGAAATGCATATGGAATGAATAATTTAGGTAATTGTTATAAAAAAGGAATTGAAACTGAAATTGATGAAAAAAAGGCATTTGAATTATTTCAAAAATCAGCAGATTTAGGAAATATTAGTATAGCTCAATATAATCTTGCTTTTATGTATGAGAATGGAGAAGTGATTGTTAAAGATATAAATCAAGCAATTTACTGGTATAAACAATCTGCATTGCAAGGAAATCAAAATGCTCAAAATAGATTAGAACAAATTCATGCAAAGTAAATTGAGAATATTTTTGCTTAAATGTTTAAATAAAATAAATAAGCAAAATACTGTTATAGATATAAAATTTATTTCATTTATTTCATTTGTTTTTTTTATAAGTATTGTATATCAAAGTAATAGCATTGTTTGCCGATATTGGTCATTAATAGCTTTAAAAGATTTATTTAAAATAGATTCATAAGAAATAAACAAATAATATTTTTTGTTGATAACTGCTAGTAAATATACACATTTTTTATGTTTATTTACTAATTGTTAAGTGCAGTGTTTAAAATATAATCATGTTGTCGAAAAGATCCAAATTTTTTGGAATTCCAACTTCTAAAAGTAAAAAAATTCGGCATTGAGAATTACTCTTTTAGACTAAATTCGTGATTTGTGCTATATACTTTTCCGAAAGAATTAAAACTTTAAAATCTGTAACAAAAGATAAATTTTTTAGATAATAATACGTGCATTACTAACAAATACTGTAACGTAAAAATGAACATTATGGGGCTTTATGGAGTATTTTCGTTATCGTTATCGTTATGTTATTATCACAAGTTCAATTTTTTTACTAGAATCTTCTGGTTAAAATGTAAATCTCAGGGTAAGTCATCTAAGTCATCCCAAAGAATTCAGAAAGTTCTTTTGAAAAAAATATGATTATGAGTAAAATTTATAATTAACGTAGTATTTAAATCACTTTCTAAACTTTGATGAACTTTATAAAATTTATATTTCACTTAGCAGATGTTTTTACATTTTCATTCCTTTATTCCGCATTTTATTAATTTTGTTATATTAAACCAAATTATGGACTTAAAAATTTTTTTTAAAAGAAACATTTAAAATTGCAAAAAAATTTTTCATTTAAAAGGATGATCAAACTTTCAGTATTATTAAAATAGTTGCGTTCCACAGTTACAGTTATGATATCATCCATTGACTGATCATATCGTATTGGTTTTATACGAAACATGTTATATATATAAAATATTTATAATATTTATACAAGTTTATATTTGAATGATTTATAAATGTATTAAGTTAGTTCTCTCTACAAATGTTAAAAATGTTGATCATTTTCATCTATGATGAAATAATGAATTGAAACTTTATTTATTTGACATTATTATAATTGATATTATAATTTTAAGCATGTAAGTATGCAAAAATTTGTTATCTAATTGTCTAATGCAAAATTGCCATTATTTTTATCAAAAAAGTTTCTAAAGCTTGATATAGTTAAATTATTTATTAATACTTGTTTCAACTCTAACTTAATTTTTTTATTCGGAGTTGAAACTTTAACTTTCTAAATGCTTATATTAATTTTTTTTTGTAACATTTTTCCTTACTTTGATTGTCTTATTCAATTCTATCATCAGATTATAGCATCAATAGTTAATAATTTACTAATTTCTAGCACGATTAACATCATGCCCGCTCGTACTTGTAAATTATTAATCGTACCATACATTTATATTATATCATGCCGTAATACTTTACTATATTTCCTAAACTTTTTTTTGATTCCCTCATATCACGTTCTATGTTTTATAAAGAAAAAAAATCCTAATTAAAAATGAAACAACTGGTAGTCTATTTGATTTTATTGTGATTGTACAAGAATGTTGTTTCTGGAATCATGCGTTAAATCTTTTAAGAAAAATAATTCCGAATGCTATTTTAATAAATATCTAGTAGATATTACGTTCAATAATTTGGCTATACAATGCTAATTAATCACAAAATAAATGTTTGGATAATGACGTAACAAACTGAATGTAATAAAGTTTTTTTCTTTTTAATAAATCCTTATTTGATAGATAAATATTGATTAAAACAACAAAATATAAAAATAATTTAAGAATTAAATTTTTATTATTATTTAATGAAAATAATTTGAAATTTATGATACTTTGAGGTTAAGACTATAGTTGATACTTTGGAGGGAATAGTAACTAAAAAAAAAATCTCTGAATTCTTATGATTTATCGCAGGCGCAGTAAATTATAAATCAAAAAGGTGTAAGCCTAGAATAATTTAAATGAAATTGACAGGACCCCGAAATATATATGTAGAGGTCAGGTCCAGAAGTGGTCCAAAATACGCATTCTTTCAGGGCCGGAATTACGATAATTTCAGCCATTATCTAAATTAGGAAATATTATTTTGGCTGGAATTATCCATAAAAGGAATGATCTACATGATTTTTTGACTCATTATACGCAAACTCTGACCTGACCCTTTTATGTATATTTCGGGGTCCTAAATTGACGAAGACATATTTCACTCAATAGATTGTTTCCAGAAAACTGTTATGAGAAATTGATTGATTATTTCCAGGATAATCATTATGAGGAATCAATGGATTATTTCCAGAATAATCATTATAAAGTGTCAATATATAACTAATTACAATATTTTAAGTACTAGCGATGTATTCGCATTTCAGATTGCTAACATCTCTAATAGTAGGTTACGGTACATTTCGCCGAAAGCCATTTCGCCGAAAGGACGTTTCGCCGAAAAATAGGGCCAACATTATGCAGAATTATAAATAACTCAGGCCAGAGATTATTTTTCGGCGAAATGGCTTTCGGCGAAATGTCCTAATACCCTAATGGTTATAGTATTATAGTTCATAACGTATAATACTCCGATTTCTACATAAAATTATTCGTTCTCATTTTCAAATAAGCTTATTAATATTTTTTTCTTAAGCTTAAATAATAGCTTGTTAAAAATTGGTGAAATATAATGAAGATAAATAATAAGGCTAAATTGTATAACTAGGAAATGGGAGGCGATTTTATTGGCTGAGGATCACGTGGGTGAACCGTGACCACAAATTTTTTGATATCGTCCTCCAGACAATAAAATATACTGTAATTGGTTAAAAAAAAAAACTCTTTCCCCTTTTTTTTTATTTTGTTAGTTTTCCGCAGTATTTTGCGCTTGGTTATTTTTCTATAGTTTTTCACGAAAACTTTAAGGGGAAAAAGGCCCTGTTGGGCGTCTTGGTTCTCATACAAGGTTTTATTCTTATCTTATCCCAATATTAAGGGACTATGTCATCTTCAAACAACAAAAATACCAACTTTTCCTTGGCCTCATATGAACCTTTGGAACCTTATCCGCAGTTGGATGTACACTTCGATAACAGAAGAAACATTCCTGAAGGCGGACTTTCTAAAGATAAAGTTTTAAGGATGAATATTAAACCACAGGATAACGCACTTCCGACTATCATAGTCAAAGCTCCTTTACCCTCACCAATACTTTCGACCTTCTCTTTTTTGGTCTCTTTCAAAAAATTTCATGTGACTGCTGCGTCCAAAGCAGGTTATAATAAGATCTATGAATGTAGGCGTTCAAAAAGTTTCTTTTTTGAGGTTGTCGATCAAATACCAGACACCAATGAAATTCACCTTAAAATATACATAAACGATCATCATATGTTATCAACCCCAATTCGGTATTATTCCACAAGCAAATTACCTAATCATCGATTTCAAATATCGAAATGCCTCACGCACTTTTTTTTACATCAACGAGTCATTCCTCGGCGTATTCAGAACAAATTTTTTAACATGATACGACTCAAGTTGTTAGATAGAATCAATCTGATAGCATTACGTGAAGGAAAAATCACGTGCAGCAACAATATTACCAAAACTTTTTTCAACTTCTCTTATAAACGATACAGATTTCACTTTGGTATCTATGTAGCTTGTAATCACCTACCTACAAAAAAGTTTCCTCATCAAAAAACAACACCATGCCATATACCGTGCCCTTTTGTTAAAAATTTTAATCGACACGCTTGCATCCAACACCATTCGGCTATCACTCAAGAAAAAAACACACTCTCAGAGGATAAGGCAACATCAGCACCTGAGATCAATATTATTCATCACAAAAGTTTTCACGCCAACATTATTTACGAGAAATATAACAATAACTCAAGGCAAAAGATTTTTTCGAATCGATTGGGCATCTCTTATACAACGCGTTATGAAGCACACAACCTTGACTCAATTTTACCCCCTAACAAGGCTACTGGTCCTATGTATACCAAGATTTATGAGAACTTTTCTTGCATTTTAAGTTCTAATTTACGTACTGCTGCACGGCAAAAAGCTCATTTTGACCGATCTTGTCAACGTATTTTCAATGGTAATAAACCTAAATCTAGGATGGCCCTTAAACTCTGCCACAAGATTAAACTTGCGAATCAAAGGAAGTTCCTTTTTCATCTGTATCAAAAGATTTATACACGGATCCTTCATCTCCCAACCGTTCCCTTATTCCGTTTTCCATACGATCGGAACTGCGCTCTTTTACATCTTTCTGAAGATAGGATTCTTCCTCCTCACATTACTCCTGCATCACGCAGTGTCATCAAGATTCAGAATTCAGATGAAGAGGATGACTCTTCAGCCAACAATGGCAGGGATGATACATCAGAAAACTCTTATAGGGATTGGTATATCGCAAATCTTATTGACGAACATTATGGTAAAGGTGCATCAGAATACATAGATGCCGTACTTTTATTACAAGACTCTACAATTCAGCTATCCTTGAGAGACGCATATATGCTAGGTTTAGATGAAGATCGCATCAGTGAGATCAGAGTTCGTGATCGTCTTAATGAAAGGTTAAATGTCATTAAAGACATTAAGGATCATAATACCTCCGCCAAACATTACCTTAGACGTATTAATGCTATAAAGTTTTTTACTCGTATGAATGATAATTTTGATGACCGTATGGCCAGTATTCGCAATTTTGCGTATGGAGCATCTACGAAGAAAAGCAACGACAAACGAACAGTCGCTTCAAGACATCTCAACAATTTGATAACAGATTTTGGACAACAATACAGGGATGAACACTACCCTTTAAAACCGTACTGCGCTATTATTCGCCCAAATGATATTCAATACGTAAAAGATGATCTCAGTGATACCTCCGATGACACGAAAATAATAGAATGTCGCCCAAAAAAGCATCGCGCCAGACATAATCACTATAATTATTATGGAGATCTTACACCTTTAACAAAAAAAATTTGTACTTTCGATTGTAGGGATACTAAAGAAGAAGACTTCTTACCCGCTAATATAGACCTAATTTTTAAATTTCGTATTTTGAAATAGTTTAGTTTCTATATTTTGTAATTCATTTTTTGAATTTTTTTGGTTCGTATTAAAATAGATATTAACAATTACAAACAGTGTGAATCATTCCACCTATGACAGTATTTACAGGTGGTGACCTTGATGGTTGAAAGAAAAATACGGGTTAATTAGTTCACTTTTTAATTGTGGTTCCTGTTCTTCTTTCGGTAGTGGAGGAGGATCAGGCTGGTTCCAACATTTTTAAAGAAGTTTGGGTCCGCCCTGGTGATAGATGATAGCTAGAAGTAGGATAACTCACGTGTGGTATATGTCCTGTTTAATAGTCTGTCCGGCTTCACATAAAATAAATAAATAAAATACTGTAATTGGTTAGGTAAAATTTTAAATATTATATCAGATAAAGATAAAGATATTGAATAGCAAAGGTCTGATAGCTCTTTAGGTACCAGATCAAGTTATGCATTTTTTATTAAAATAGAATTATCTATTTTTGATCAGTAGATTTTGAATTACTCTGCATGAATTATATTATATCAAAATTTAAAAACGTTACGCAACACATTTTCTTATTAAAAATAATTTCATAGCGATATTGGCGAAAGTTTTGTTTATAATAAGATTTAAATATACAAAAAATACTCGCGTAACTATATATAAAGCTAAATTTGCCTAATTATAAAATATAATAATTTGTTCTCTATAAAATTAATTTCCCAATTCCCGGAATACATGTTAATAATTAATATCAAGTTATAATGTTTCAATATGATAATATTAGCAAATTCATACAATATATTGAAAAATAAAAAAATTATTTCTCCTTTATTTCAAGATCCCATAATTTGTTGTCTTAATTTCATTATAATACTTTCCACTTGTTCAATTTCACCTCTTAAACTTATATTTGAATCTTGTAATTCTTTTACCTCTTTCTTTTTTTTTTGTCTTAATCTTGCAGCAGCCTTTCTGTTAAGCATTTTTTTCCTTTCGTTTTGTAATATTTTTTTATCGATATTATTAGAAAATATTGATGAACGTGATGAAGAAGAGGAAGAAATCTTGCAAAATGATTGATTTTGTTGAATATCTTTAGAAGAAGAATTTTTGGTAGAAATTACTGATGTTTGCTAACGTAAAAAAATCAAAATTTATAAGTAATAATTCACTTGTATAATAAAAACATTTAAATAAGATGATAATAATACTATTTAATAAAATTTACCAAGATTGGATTATCTTCTAATATTTCATAACTTTCTTTCTTTTCCATGTTTCACGAATTTTTTGCTTTTTTTTTTTTTAAAAAAAAAAAAAAAGAGCAAGAATTTTTCGTAAAAGTAATGGAATGGAATGATTTATGATTTTTTTCGCATGAGTAATTAATCATTAATCACGTGAGATGATCAAAATTTTACGTCACTAGTCAAATGATGAAAACTTCGAACTCGCGAAAAAAAATCAAATAATATAATACTTGGCTATTTCCAAATTATCATTACGTCTTGGGATTGTATAAATAATTAAAACTTTAAATACCCAAACTCATAAACTGAGGTCCTTTTCTGCAGTGTTTTATTTATTATATAGACTATAACTACCTTTGCTCACTTAACATAGAAAGAAATTGCAGCGAAAAATAATCAAATATTAAAACTGATTATATATCGAGTTTTATTTATATCATTATTATTAATCCAATGATTCATATAGAGTTAATTATAAATATTCACCTACTTCATTACTCACAAACGATAAAGATAAAATGCAGTTTTAGCAATTAATAGATTTATTTATTTACCTCATTTTTTTTCCATTTATGTTAAGTTTCAATTAAAAAAATTGCCATAAACTATAATATAAATGGATAATATTTTTTGTGGCCACAGATTTTAAAACGGAATAATGATATTTGATAATTAATACGTTGCTTGCATTTTTTTATTAATTTTTGGTTTAAAAAAATTTATTTAGTCCAAGATTTGCAGACCATTATCCTTAAAGTATATTACATTTTATTATTCGTTCATTTACTATTAAATCATAGTATTAAACTTAATCATAATATAACTTTTTGATAAACTTGTATAATTATCCACTAAAGTGAACAATATGGTTTTGTATTATGAATAATAAGTGTTCTAAGTCCTAAACACTCCTATAAAGTTGATTTATAAATCAAATTTCTTACTAATTAGCGTACGTATATTATTAATTATTAAACTGTTACAAAGGCCTGTAAATATTATTGAAATATTTGAATAAATTATCAGTCGTAGATGCATAGTAAAATAACGATTGCTCAATCACGTCTTTGATGAGGCGTTGGATTATCTGTCAAGTACATTTTTTGCTGACTCTCGGTAAACATCCTAATGACATAAAGATAGTGTATTAAGAAAATTACAAATTATGCTAAATTTAAATAGCATTAAACGTGCCAACACAATTTCAAGAATGTTAGCTCAACCTTTATCACGCAAGTCGCTAAGAATGATTATTGAGTACCTACTCATTGAAAGGCGTATTTTGTACCGTGAAATGATTTGCCTGAAATATATGCAGTAATGTTGAGTTTATATAAAATTTTATTAAGTATGTTAGAATTTATATAACAAAAATTACTAAAAATATATGTACGAAACTTACTAGATGTTCTCCAAATCTTACAAATTATCTTACCATCCAAATAAAAACTGTAGACTCTATAGTATGATTATAATTAGTAATAAATATGAAGTCAATACTATTTCCAATTGATCTACTAAATTCAATAAAAGTTGACCAAGTCGAAGAACAAGCATTTATCTGATATAGCTAAATTTAAGTGGCAAGACAGGTTACAATTACTAAAAAATATTGTATCAGGAGTTCAGGACTTAAAGTAATTCATGAATCAAATTTAACTCATGGTGATTTTCATGATGGTAATATTTTAATATCAGACGATTACAAAGAGTCATTTATTATTGATTTAGGATTATGTAAACCTATAAGTGATTTACAGGATCCTAATAATGAGATTTATGGAGTTTTACCTTATATGGCACCTGAAATATTAAGAGGAAACCCCTATATCCAAGTGTATGATAATGTAAATTGCGCAGATTGAAATATATAAAGGAGTATGTTACTGCTCAGTTAGTCTACAATACCTATCATGTCGATGGAAGAAGGTTCATCAAAGGTTGAGAAATACTTTTTGGCGAATTAATTTTTTTTCTTATTGTAGTCATTACGCTATTTAATACTATTGTTGATTGATTTGCTTTAACAAATATAGATTTTCCACCAAGATTATATTGACAATGAAGTAACGTCCAAGGCGGAAGAAGAAAAACCTAAAGGTGAATTAGAATTTTACTAAATTTAATAAAAAAAAAAAAAAAATTTCTAAAATAGTTAAAATATGAAAACAAGTAGAATCTCCTATAGATACGATCGTGATTGTGAATGAAAACGAAATAGAACCATTGACAAATCCACAAGCTAATGTGGAACAAGAGAACGTAAATAATGCAAAGGTAGAAAATAGGAAAAATTTGGACGGAGATGAGACAGAACCATTGCTACCAAAATCTAATTCTAAACAAGGTTTACTGTCCTCTGTCTGGAAATTACTAAAAAAATTTATTGGTATTTCATTGATTATATTCGGTATTTTATTTCTTGTTTACTGTTTTATTCTTTTAGTTGGTTATATAGAAGAAATTATTTTTCTATTATTTACTATTCCAAGTTGGGCGGGAGATGTAGTTTCTTTTTTACTTGCTTTGATTTTAGTGTATTTTTCGGTGCGGTCCCCACGTTTTAGATATTTTTTATTAGTTATTTTTATTATAAGATCATTTCCTGGAGAATATAAAGATCGTACGATGGAATTCCTTAAGGATTTCTTTGAGGCTGATAGATGGTGGAAGAAATTAGTTCTTATTTTAACGTTTGTTTTGGGAATAATAAAATTATTGATAGATGATGATATTATCAAGATCGAAGCTTAAGAAGAATAAGAAGGCTAAGAAGGAGCTGGTTAAGCAAGATGAGCAGGTTAAGCAAGATAGACAAGTTAAACAAGATGGAAATGTTGAACAGGTTGTGTAGATTCTGCAAGGTGGTTTAATAAAACAGTAAGAAAGTTTGCTCGAGGGGAGAACAAAAGGATTGTACTATTAGTTATTCATGTAACGAAGATATATTACTGCATTAATGAATAAAACTTATGCATAAAAATTTTTTATTATTGGAAAAAAAATTTTTTTTTTATATACACTACACAAATATATAAAGAAGTTATTGCGTAAAGTGATTGGTTTTTATATTTTTGAACTAAGGTACAATCTCTTTACATATAGAGGACATTTACATTAGTTCTTTGGATCCTATCTCACAATTTGTAAGAATACCATCTTCATCTTTATTAATTATTTTCCTGATATTTCATACGAGTATACGAGTAAAATTGAAAGAAATAAATCAAGAAATACACAAATAATAAATTAAAAAGTGAAAAAAATACTAGTATTAAAAAATAATACAAATCAAAACCCTCTAATCCTTCCACAATCCTCGTAACTTTTGCAATCGTAAATTTTTAGTTTCGTTACCTGAATCAGCAATTTACGCCTGATCAACTTTAACTTTAATTTCATCTCCCATTTTATTTGGTTCAATAACGACCTTAAATTTATCATTAAAAGGAATAAATCACTTCTATAAAAATTTGGCTAATTTCGTTCATCATAGTAAGTTTTCCAATTTCATGTATCATAATTCGTACATCATAAGTTAGCTAATTTCGCACATCGTAATAAGTTTTTAAAACGAAGATCGACATCAATGATTTTCTTGAAATGTGTGTACTATGCAATATGAATAAACACCTTAATTTTTTTTTCCCTTTTTCTTTTCTATGATGTCAATTAAGAATTTTAGGGTAAACAAATTCTAATTACTAATATTGTGTATTATGACAAATATTAAAGTTTCGAACCAATCTCCATTTAAAAGATTGTGTGATTCATATAGTCTAAGAGAAAACCTTCTTTGAATTCTTTGAACATGAAAATAGTCCTTGTACTACTGATCTAGTCCTTGGACCATATCCCAATTCGAACTTAAAACGATCCTATGACCCAAACCTGGCTTAGAGGTTGGAACCGGTCCAAAAAGTCTTAACCGGTTAATAACCGGTTAACCAAACCTTTAACCGGTTCCAACCTCTAAATTAAAGATCGATACAATTTACTCCCAATCTTTTTAAAGAATTATCGCAAGCTTGACGAACATATTCGGGTTTGCCTGATATCTTAAATTCGCCATTTGGTCCTCGAGAGAATGCAAACTTTGTACAAATAAAAACTTCATTACGACATTCTTTAAGAAAGAATTTCATTGGCTCCGGATCCATACAAATCCTTTACATTTTTTTTTTAAAAAAAAGCGATACTCCATTATTTATTATTTAAAATAATATTAAAATTTTGAATTTATTAGAAGAGTTTAAATACAAACAGCAGTATCCCAAAAGGTACATCCGATATCAATTGCTCGATTTAATACTTTAATATTTTCCTGTTCATCAGCTGAACCATAAAATTCACTTATGCCCTACCAAACAAAATATTAGAATCACGCGATAGGCAAGTAATTATGAAGTATAAAGTGCAGAGTATACCATGCATCCTAAACCGATTGCAGGGATTTTTACACCAGTTTTACCAAGTTCACGAAGAAAAGTCATCTCAAAAGAAAGAAAAGTTAAAGAAATAAATTTCTTTGAAGAAAATCAATAAAATTCCCAGCGCTTTTTATTTGTAACAGATAACTAATAAACCAAATTTTTAATAAACCGGATTTATGTGTTTGCATGCGAAAAAATTCAATTTTTATTAATATCTTTAATAATGATAATTATTATTATCGTTCGGGTACATATGATCATAACATACTATATTTTTAGATATTTTATTTATACTTTATAATATCATAATAAACCATTTATACTTTATATAAGCTATTTATACTTTATATTATTAAAATAAGCTATTTATAAGTGTACATATAATAAAATTCGTATAAAAATCATTTATTCACATTGAATGTAAT